CTTTTCTCAATGGAATCAGTTAAGTCTTTGTTACTTTTTCTAACTTGAATCTCATATGGTCATTCAAGATGGACTTCATCTTAACATAATCTGTTTTGTTCATTAGAACAACACTTGAGCCTTTGTCTCTTAGTTTTATTAAGTTAGGATAGTACCTAGCAATGGAATCCAAGGTTCCTGTTTAGGACTCATTAGTTGTATTCCAGTGTCGGTTTTGACATTTGGACGCGAATTTAGTCTTTTTGCTTCAAACCTCTACACATTAGCCACTGAGTTCAATAAGCCAATATCCCGCTCAAAAGATATGAATTTTGTTAAGTGTTCATATTTTCCCGTTGTTGATGTCTAGAACTACAGCTTATCAGTCCCTATACCTACAATGGGATTGTTTAAATGATCCATTTTCCATTGATTTAAAATCAGTTTAAATGAACTGTATGTTGACATAGTCAAATACCAGAAATAACGTAGATATTAGAAGTGATCATGAAACAAAAATGTTGGCGTAATGTATGAGTAGATACATAGTACTGCTGTATAATTAAGCCTTATTCCCTCTTACAAACACGTCTGTTTTTTTTAGATGAAGAATTAAAATCATCTCAAGAAGATTGCTTTGTTTATGTTATATAATTAAACACCAGAATTTACTTCGACAACAGTTGTACTATCAGAGAATGATTCAGAAATATGCTTTCTGTTTGTTTCTATCTATTTATTGAACAGTGCACTTGAAAAAAGTTGTTCCACACCTCTCTTAACGAAAGTTTTTACAAAGACAGCTGGATTTTATTGACCGTATCTTATGTGGAAGGTGATTTTTGTCTAATAAAGTTGATACACTAAGCTTAACATTGGTACAACTTATACACTAGACATTTTCCCTACATAGGTTTATTTCTCTCCAACACGTTATGTGTGACATAAATTCTCCTGATTTACTCATCTTAATGATTCTCATTATCAGAGGGAATTATAAATTAAGAGTTTTATTGTAAACTAAATAACATTCCGAAAGAAGTTCATATCCATCATTCAACCTAGCGGTCACAATTCGTATTTTCACAGTTATTATTCTTATGTTTAGTTGTCAGCTTGCTAAATGATAACCTAGTTGACTAACAAATTAAATTTGTCGAAACTACTTTTCCATGAAATGAGCTTTTGTTTTTTCCACTCAATTACAACCTCTGACTTTTCAATAAAGTTATTAACACTGAACTCTTATCAAGTTCTGTCCAGTTTAACCAGTCATTTAAATATAACTCACTGTAACTATCAGCTAAATTTCCCAAAACAATTGCCTTCAATATATGCTTGCATCACAGAATGATTGCTTCATTTTGCTCACTACTAGTATTTCCAACAACCGATCCCACTCTTGTTTAAATTAAATTTGTAGCATAGGATAAAAATTATGAATTCAAATCATATGAAAAATACACTAATGTCCCTACCGCTCAATCATGATCACAGTTGTAGAGCCAACAGAACCATTGAATACTAATCTAAAAGTACGAGAACTAGATTAAAACTCGACTAATTGATCGACAGTCGATTGTAAACTCAGTCAGTCAGTCATTAACAACGTAGAACTTCGTACGTACGTACATCAGTTTGAGTTGCCATACCACATTAGCACAGAGATGCAGTTATCGATCCAATCCCGTAGTGGTAGAGGTAGTACGAGTATAAGCAGTAATCAGGAAAATTAGTGTTTGGAGATGTTATTTAAAGAGTATAATACAGTGAAATAAATTTGGGAAGAAAATAAACGACATGAAGAATTCAGAAGATTAGAGTTTGGGAGGACACAAAGAGTGAATGCACCTGTGCCATCGCAAACGATTTTGAGTTATGTCATTCAGGGTCTCTAACCATCGGTCGGTATCATCTCGCGGTCCACAACCAGGTAGTCTACACCTACCAACATGGCTCATTCCACTTGTCAGTGACTTCATGGATTTGTGCCACGTTTTGATCTGGCCACCCCTAGCTTTCTTCTAACTTACTCCTACACCAGAAAACATCGCACGTCGAGGCAGTCGGTGGTTGGGCATACGTAATACGTGTCCCAGCCATCTCAACTGGTGAAGTTTCACTACTTCCTCTGTCTTCATCATACTTGAAGAGAGGTACTATTCTGAAGTATTTAGACTGTCAGCGCACAACATATATACACCTTTTCATAACAAGAATAGTGTCGGATAAACTAGAAAGTTATCCTCTTTTAAAATTGAAGAAAGATATTTCTATATCACAAAGTAATTGAATTTTGAATAGAAACTAACTGAATAGCATTGTTACGAAAAAGTTGGTTTGATCTCTCTTAGGTTAAGAGGGATCATCTTCAAAGAGATAAAAGACAGCACAGAATATTTATTCAGTACTAGCTAGTTCTCAAAGGTCACGAAGCTGATAACAGTTCTTGATCAAATGTAATTTATAACCATACAAAGAGTTACCGTAATAAGCAACTAGAAGTATGTTCAATTTCCTTGAAAACAAGCTCAGGTCATCAAAGTACATCTTCATAAATCAAGCAATCTTTGTACTTTTCCATCCGGGCAATTTGTTGTTATGGTGACTTCGTATGAGAACAAGTCATTCTTTTATATTTGTTTGATTTCACTCATTTCTTAATAAATAAAGAAACATTCATCAAAATACAAAGTTTATTTAACTAATTACATGAACATCGTTAGTATTGTTAATCAATCCACAAGCGAAAAGGGTGAAAATGCACTTAAATTCTATTCTACATTAATTAATGGATCTTTTGTTCTCATAAAAAAAATCGTACAAAATGTCATACTGTCCTATTTGAAAAGAGAAAATCACTTTTCATCCTACACAAATAACTGGAAATGAATACATTTCTGTAATTATATGTATGCTGGTCTAAACTCTACTTGTATGACCCGTTTAAACTAGTTTTCTTTTTGAACAATTTAACTTCCTTAACAATACTTAATTCATATACTGTGATTTTTAGAAGGTGTCTTAAACAAAGTTATGTATTTGGAACACTAGTTCAGATGCACCTCTGTAAAGCCGTATGAAGAGTTATTTAAAAGTGTATCATTCCTTATATATCTGCAATTTCAATATGACGGTAACTATTTTGATTATCTAAATGAGTGATTAGATTTTAATGATGAGACAGCCCACTTTTTGTGAAGCGAGTTCGATCATTAAAAGAACAATGAGAATAGATTAATATGGATGAGCGACTATTAATTGACAAAATCACAATGCATCGTGACGCAATTAGTGACAATATCACATAAAACTAATCAGGGTTTACTTCAATAAGGACCAACAGGGTGAATGGGAAATAACTAGTAGTTCGCTTTAAAATGACTTAACTCGGCATCTAAACTTCAGGAAATGACAAACAATGTAAAGATGCTAAAGTCAATCACAATTCATTAGTTGTTGCAAAAGCATGACCTCACATAAAATAGGTTATTATTTGTTCGGTTCACAACATATTATGTGAGCAGAGTTCAAATGGAAACAAAATATGCCCAAAGGTTATGAATTACATTTCAGTTTATATGTTCTACGTCTCGTCGGAACGGAACCAGTATACATAAAGAGTAAAAAAGGCGTTGGTTTACTGAATGACCACACCATAAAAAGGACACAGATAAACAACAAAAAGCTGTGAAGATGTATGGATTATCGGACGGCGAAGTGTAGATCTTGCTCTTGTGCAAAATATGATGTCAATATAGATCAACCAAATGAATCCAATCATGTTCCAAATAAAGCTAACTTAGAAGTAAAACAGTAATCGCTATAATAAAGATAACCAAATCATAGCTAAGACAGCTGACAGTCTAACGATTGCAACTTCAGCTCATTTTCCAGCTGTCATCAAGTATTCCTTCTAAGTTCGAATTGATCGAATACAGTCACTATCATCTGAAAACAAGTAGGCTATGAGAGTCGAAAATTTCCTTCTGTATGATATTGGACTAGGTGAAAAATGAATTTTGATGTTTCCTACAACTCAGAGTCACGAATGGAACAGCCAAGACCCCATCGCTTCTGTTTACACAGATTATACTATTAAATTCAATACTACTATTGTCTTGGCTTATATTCTAATGAATGACGAAAGTATAAAGATGTTGTATGTACATCTTCAACGAACTTAGCAAACTATATACAAAGTAAATCCCTCAACTATCACGACTGATTATAAACGTTTAGCCAATATCAGCATATTAACGTGTATGTCTAAATGTATTACAAAGTCTCAAGGCTATAGCGAATTAATTATCCAAACTGTACTGTGAAATATCGATATTTACATTGTGGAAGATCTTAAATTGAATAATGTAGTAGTGAGGTGGTTTAGCGACTTTAGTCAATTCGCTAGTTCTGCTGATCCTAGCATACGCGAGTTCTCCTATGCTCTAAAAAGCAATAGAGTTTAAATGCATTAAAAATGGAATGGTTTGTTTCTGAGACCCAATAACAGTGTGGAATAAAAAGTTCAAGCAGGTAGAAACACGCATTAAACTACTTGTCAATAATTATGGAAACAGATTCATAAATCGCTATTTGGATCCTCACTCTTAATTTATTATATTTAGTCGGTTAATATACTTATTACATTTTGTCCTTGACTTAACTGACATTCCCTCTTCTGATATTCACTCCTATCTATCCAAGAGACTTTGTTGATGTGCATATCATGGAACTGTGTCATTTCTAAAGGATACTATTTATTTTAAACAGGATTACTACGTGAACAATACTACGCTTAATCTGTATTCTAATCGGATGGAGTTGAACTTTTTATTCTGTTCTGTTTTCCCCTCGTAGTATTGATGTTGTTTAATTTTGATGAACCAATAAGAAAGTTACTTCATTGTAATTGGTTGGTTAATATTTTAAAATATTCTCCAAACCATCAACATTATTTTTTTTATATCCGAGTTTATCTGAGCAAAAATCTTTTGCTTCTGAACAATATGCTAAACAACATGAATACAATAATGAAAGGTTTCATTCTATTAAATTTATTTTTAATTTATTCTCGATATTGTCGTACTGTCCATTTGGGTAAGTCTATGAAACCTAAACAATTTCGTCCTTATGATTTAACAACCCACATTTTAATTTCATATGAGCAAGAGCTGATAAAAATACCATGTTGTAATGTTAAAAATTTAGTCCAGAAGTCCAGATTTTGTGATCATATTTCTCTTGAAAAACCAAGTCAATGGCAGATCCTCATCAACATTCTTCAACCAGTTAACTTAAAGAAAAACAGAACAAATCATTTCTAGCTTTTATTTAAGTAAAAACGGAATATAGCGAATTACTTATTCAGTGTTTGTTGACTATTTTGAGCACAAACTTCAGTAAGCAGCTAGGTTTTGTTAAATAACTCGATAAATAATGATCACTATTCAGTTTTAATTATCAATAATTATGCTTCACAACCCGTTGTATGAAATATCATTATATTTTATAAAGGTAAACTAATTTACGTAAACATAAGTCAAACATTCGAAGAACAAGTATGAAAAGCGACGTGTTTTCAACGTCAGTAAACAAATTTAAATGCTATAATACGCAGTATTCGATGTTCATATGGTGGAAGCAAAGAAAACTGTTTAACCTTCCAATGCACTAATTGAGTAAATCTGTTATTTGGTGCTTTCAGATTAACAGAAGTTTATACAGCCGAGTGAAAACCGATTGTGTGTTTAAGGTTTAGTGTCTATTCAAAGCATACAATCCCACAGAATCAAACTAATGAATTTATACAGTACTTAGAGCCACACTCTTGTTTCTTAGGTCTCAACGACACCATATAGTGATGTTAATCTACTACTTAGTTGAATATTTATGTTAAAATCTGACATAAAATCAGTTTTTGATTGTTTAAAAAGATGCCACAAAGAAATAGTTCTGGAAAAACTAGGTTTGAAAATATATTGATCCTATTCGAATTAAAATCAAATTTAGTACTTAAAAATCCAGTTTCAGTAGAGCCCTTGCTTCTTCGCATTCTGACTCGTTGAAATAACTCCTTACATCAATCTTGAATGATCCCCAAGGAAAGATAAATTATTTATTTCTGCTAACGGTAGAACGTTGACGTGACGCAATTACTTAAGGAAGTAGAATTAATGCAACATGTCTGTCACCAGTTCACTCGTGTCATGACAGACTTTCAGTTTGTAGAGAAGCCTCCAAATATGTAAAATTAATATGTCTGTTTTGAAAATTAAGTTTCTAACAAGTTTCCTAACTAACAACGTTAGTCAAATTCATGGTGAACTTGAAAAAATCTGAGAGCAGTTGGTCAACGGAAGTTATATATACATCGTATATACTCCAGGATCCTAAATTTTGATTATTTTCACGTCGTTTTGGATCACTTCATGCAAACTAAAACGTAACCACTTGTCAAAACAATTGCTTTAGACTAGAAGCTAGCAGCGACTTTTCAGGTTATCACTGATTTCATTATTACTAAATCGTTTTGTGGGAGTTTCTGTGAAAGCAGATAAGTCAGACGAAATATTGAACACTCACTTGGAAGAATAAAATATTATTTAGATTAAACAGCATTTATTATTATTCGAAGATTCTATGAGTCAAGTTTTTATCAATTTGTGTGCATTGTAAATTTTAGATTCTATCTAAAATGTACTATATAATGTAAACTAATGTTTTACTATATCAGGGTGTATGAACTTTGCAAGTTCTCCTACCATTCTTACCTTCCCTGTGAAAAAGTTATTTTATTCTAAATGAATAATGAAATAACTTGTTTTGTGCCTTTAGTGATATTTATTCCAGAAGAACAATCGTATTTGAATCTAGCGGCAGAATTAGCAATTAACAGACATAATTTGTTGCAAGACAATATGTCAGATAACTACGTAACCGTAAATTTTCATAAAATTAACCACAGAGATCCACGTTCATGGAGTAATTCTATCAAAAATGGTGAGTGGCTATGTTTAGTTTCTATGATTGTTGATGTTTTCTCATTCAAATAAGTCTCCATTATTATGTCCATTCTCTATAAGAAGGATGCACCAATCACCTTAGGAGGTTATATTTGATCCAAACATTTTGCGATTTCAAACTTGTCAGTTGAGTCTACTAATGTCAAAAAATGTTGGCGTTTTCTAAACCAAACTTAAAATCAACATTTGTTTGCGAATCTGGTTCAATTGAAAGCCAATTCTACAAACAGTAAAATTAATTTATCGAAATTCAAGAATTCATGGCTCATAAACTTGAAGTGATACCATCTAGGACGATCAACTCAAGTTCATATTAGCGTAACGAACATCCAGAGTTAATATTTTCGTTGTGATTGAAACCTTATGGTTATTTAATGTGAATAGTGCTAAACTTCTTACTTCGTTAAGTGATAAAATAGATTAGTTTATTATATTTACGTCAGACATAAATCACGTAAGTGCAATTGGGTGACTAACACAGTAGAGAGCCAATATTAATAATAGTCGCCCAACAGACTAGAGATAAGTAAAAACTAAGGATAATTTATAATTTCCCTATTCTAAACATGTTGATCTAACCCATCTGAAAGTATTCACTACTAGTAATTTAGACTTATTCGAAATTATATGTATGGAATGTTTTTATGTTAATACACAAACATTTCACAGCTTTCATACAAAAGCTTAAAACATTTGCAATTTTTTTGTACTACTTACAAGCAGCTGAAAAATAAAGCATTTTATAGCAAACGACTTGGTCATTCTTTCTTTCAGTTTGCTTAAATATTCAAAATGATACGATAGAACATCCAGATCTTTTAATCGATCTTACACCACCATCGCAAGCTAGTTGTGGTATTCAGAAATTAGCTCAACAAATTGATTCCGGAATTATAACGCTTAATTATTATGACTGCCCGCCGTTATACATTAATCAAACTCTCCTTAATAAATCAAATCTCATCACAGAATTGAATATACCTTCAGTAAACTTACCTCCTGAAGCAGTGGCATCTGCATTATCTGTTTTTGGAAATACAATCGCTGGTTCTCTTCGAACAGAGACTATAATTAGAGGAAGCGATGAGGCTGGTACGTAAAAATGATATGTTACTGTTCATTAACTGTGTGAATATTTTCCAGTCTTTTGATTATTTTACTGCTAGATGAATTGTGCACAAGTTATTTGTAGTTAATTAGAGCTAGAAGGAAATTTCTTAACTGAATAAATACCGAACAGAGTTTCTAGTTACTATTTACTTACATTTGTTTCTAAAAAAATCGTCTCATTTCATTGGGTGCCTATAATTTGAATCTAATTAGTGTAAACAGAAATGATGAATAGTGAATCAACTCGAGTTATCAGCTGGTACTTAATATATGTTTGTATCAGTCACCGAATTAATAATGATGTTCAATAAAACTCACTGTAGTGGTCATTGACCATAAGAATTAGAAAGTTGAGCCTATGAATAAGTAATCAAATGTTATTTTGTTTCTCTGAATCCTTCATTAGAATTGAGTTTCTTCCAAGAACTAGTAAGTACATGGTATGGTTGAAATGATATTCTGGGCTTAAAATAATATCACCTATTATAAAATTGTTTTTGTTTACAACTAAATGAGGCTTCATTAACCAAGTCAACAGTTCAGATTATCATGTGCCTAAAATTAACATTATTAACATAAACCATAGATCCTTTAATTGCACATCCATATTATAGTGGTCTCACTTCAACACTGTAATAAATAAATGTAATAAAATTGATATACAGTATTCCATAAACTGTTTTATATACTACTCTAAAAAGCGATAGAATAGCAGCAGATTACAACCGGCTTATCTAACAAATACGAACGACTCCTTATATCACCAATAAATTGTCACCTAATTTAATATGTACTTATTAATACAAATTCAATTCTAAATCCAGTACTTCCTTATGATAAAATTTGTGCATACAGAGCTGAATTTTTATCGGACAGCAATGAAATGAAACTAATGAGAAATTCAAAATGATTTAATAGACATCTGTTGATGTTTGCCCATTGTTATAGATGAAGTAATAACAACTAAGTAATAGTATATATTTCTGTCCATATAACTTCAAAATACCCTAATCATTACTCATAAGTATCAAGTACAACCATGATCTCTATGATATGTTAATAAGTCAATTGTTTTTGTTCAATTTATTCTGGACGAGATATCATAAATTTAAATTTCAGGTTTTATTTTCGGTCATCTAGAGGAAATATATTGTAAAGTGCTATGTAAATCTTTTTTACAGTAACTGATATCCTAGTCACCTGAGTAGAAAACATTTATTCGCTACTAGTGTGGTGTATAATACTTATGTCGATATAAGTAGTATATAACACCAGTTGGAAGAGGAATGCCTAGATCGAATCGAAGAGAACGAAGGAGAGAGTTGTTGCTGTGGCAATGAAGGAACGATGAAGTTTGAGACAATTGATGGGATATTTTCAAATGAAATATTTTATGTATGGTTCTTATATTTTACCAAGATACTCAGTAATTTTGTATTGATATACAATCAGGTGTCCGCCACTTGTGTTCTCATTCACTGCACTATGACCTAATAATCCTCTGGAAAAAACACCAATAAACTGCGTTGATAAATCAACTTCATTACTTTTCCCCTTAGGTTTATGGACTAGAATAATGGAAATAGTTGTTTTAATGCAATAGAAATACATTAAATCTACAATGGTTGCTTGATCATTTGTTTAGCTCTACTTTTTAAATTAATTATCCAATATTATATGTAAAATAAACTGTGAAGCTCTATAAAAATCTGCTGTTTTTTCCACAAATTCCAAACGACATTTCAAATATTTTAACTTAATCTAGCTTCAAGCATAGTATGATATTTCAAGATTCGTTTTATTCCTTTTAAAGATAACAATTCCCTAGGAGCAATGGTCGTTTTATAAACATTTGTTCTGTCAATAAAATTAATCATTTTGATGATTTCAAAACTAAGTTGATAGGAAATTCCGTGATTTTTAAGCTGCATTTATCTTTTGTATGCTTTTTCTAAATCCAGGTTCTCAAATCACAATTTCAGACTATCGTGACTATCCGTCTGTGAGACGATTCTATCTTACTTTACCGTCACAACTGAATGAATCACAATTAGCACAGTCCCTAGAAGAAATAAAAACGTGGTTATGAATAAATTATGGCTATTATTAGTTGATTCGCAAACAGTGTGGAATATACTTACAACTGTAGCTAAATTCCAGCAAACCGATGTACAAAATTGGATAATATATGAAGAACATGTTAATTGTAATTTCTTATGTATGGGATCAGACGTAACTGGAAAACGAAACTGTTTAACATATAGCAATTTAAATAAACTTTATTGCCTGAAGATCGGCACAGCCGGTGCAGATAAAAACGAATTGGAAATGATACAAAACTATTACGGAATAATTTGGAATAATGAATCTTTTAAACAAGTTAGTTAAAAGCTTATAAGATAAGACTACTTATCATCTCGAGTAGCATAATCTGAAAAAATTTAAATTATTACGACGAATTACTGCGTGATCACGATTAGGTTGATGATTTGGCCTTTTTCAAAATAATTATTTTAATATTTCGATATCATGCTATAAGAGTATTTTTGCGCTCTATTGTATTATTTTTTTTATTCAATTACTAATCTTATCCACACCATGCACATTTTACTGTTGGTGAGAAGGAACGAAAATACTTTTAAACCATATGTAATGTTAAATTAATTTGAAGAAATAATGTTTGATAAGCACATATATCGGTAGCCTGTTTGGAAAACTGTCATCATTCTTGAAAAAATAGGTTCCGAAAGACTGGGTGTGATAATAGATTAAAACTAGAGGAAATTTTTAGCTGAATAAACAAATCATATTATCAAGCTGTACAATCGTATATATATAGTGTTATGCAGAGATATTTTGAAATGACTCTTTTTATAAACTATGTCCCCCAAGGTTTCACTGACAAAAAGTAAACCACTTAGGTGAATTCCATTGTCCTTACAATGATGATGCGATTCCCATGGACAATTACGTTCTAGTCATTACTACCATATAAGGGATACTTAATCTACACACCAATATTCATGAGTTGTAAAGTGATTTTCCAACCCTTCTTTTTCTTGTTAAATTAAAACTGACAGTTTGTGGCATTGAGTGCATATGAGACCGTTAAATCTGGTTTATTGGCACTGAATTCCTTACTAGTCGATAATCAATGGCCAGAAAACATAAAATCAACAAACTCATCAAGAAAAATTTGTGATTCATCGATGCCCACTATCGATTCCACAATGAGGTTTTATCGTTATTTAGAAGCCATAACCAGGGTAAGCACCGTGTTTTGATTATATCATAAAATTATGTTATATATATATACCATGAGATATATCTTGTTCTGATATAGAATATGCTATTTGTCTGCTGTAACAATATGATCCATAAATAAGGTTGAAATATTTTTATAGCTCAACCTAAGCAAATGATTGAGCTATACATAAGTCTATTTAATTATTGAGTTTATAAAAGTGTGTTCTAAAACTAGTATTTTATAATCATCTAGTATTCAATCTAGAATTTTTTTTAATACAACGAGAACGTGCTTCAGTTAGAATGAGTTAAATAAAATCCTGACACACTGTATTCCGAAAACTTTTATCTCAGCTTCCTAAACGAAATGGCACTACTGGAATAATTGATTTTAACAAAACAGTAACCAATCAACATGCTATCTTTCATTTACAACAATGTTTTGGAAAATCGAACTCATCGGAAGCAATGTGCTATGATGTTGTAAGTTACTTTTTATTGTATGACACATTATGGGACGATAATTTTAAATGTATCATATTTTTTTATCTAACTCGGGGATGGATAAGACTATGGATTCATTCTGATTTGTGAATTTTCACCAGCCTTAATATTTTCTGGAATCAAACTCAGCTTCACGGGGCTGCATTCCCAGCTGTCTACGACTAAAACATCACAGAGCATGAAAACTTTGACACTTGTTTAGTGAAATATACTTTAAAGTTGTTGTTTCATACAAGTCAGCCGTTTCAAATTTCTATGAATAATCAATAAAAGTTTATCTGCATACTAACCAAACTCTTCTAAACGATCTCGTTAATTTTTATATTTCTGTTACGCATAAAGAAATTATAATCTACTTCTGACTAACTAAATACACTGAATGTATACTGTCTGGTGTTTCATTGACTTTACTTGTCCAATTCTCTCTTACGAACAGAAACTGATGAAGTTATATGCATGAAGTTCTACCAAATACTAGAAGTCAATATTATGAGATTTTTATGGTTAAACCTATTTACTGATCGTAGAAAACCTACAGGTGTATTCCATTGACATGCACAAACAGACTTGAGGTTTAATTTATTTTTGTATTCTTTGTGTTAAGCTTCCCATAAGAGATTGATCAACTGCAGTCCCAAACATCATTTAGAAGACTCAAACAACCGAAGTAAAAATGAATTAAAACTTCACCCTACCGCACAAGCTAGTAGCTGTCTGAACTCAGTAGTTAAGTAGACACTCGATGGTGTTTGAAGTAAACAGTACTGGATTCGAGTACTGTAGTGAATATCAACTCTGGGATACATGTACATCCAACTGACGAGTCCCAACTAGGCAGAAACACCCGTCCTGGGTTCGACTACTAGCCACCATCTATATCTACTTATCAGACTTGAGGTTTAATTTAAATGTTGCCCTTCATTCATTTCCAAACAATTTAAACTGAATCTGTTTACGAATAAAAACGTACCAAACTGTTATTCTTTTCGGTTTCATGTAAGGTTCAAATTTCAAGCCTTTTAAGACAATAAAAAGTGAGAGTGATCACGTACATGTTTACAGAAAATCAACAATAGCAGCAACATGACTGAAAGTTGTCAACATCTGTACCAAATTGGGTCAAACAAATAGACACAATGGTACGCGTAGATGAACTAAGTAACTTGGCTAAGACGTAACCTGCTATGCATCAAATTGATTTTTTTGTAACTTCACTTTCTACTCCTTTTCATCCATGTATTCCAATATATTATCCATTTTAAACTTATCCACCACCTGCTCTGAGATACTGATAAATGTAGTGTCAAGAGATGAAAAATAATACTCAATTAAAATGCTTTACCAACCTAGTCGATTTCTGTAATTTAATTATTTTAAGATAATTATTAAAACAGACGAATAATGATACAAAGTCTTCCATGGTTTACTAAATTCTTTTGTAGAATTCAACTTTTATTTATCCACAGAATAAAGTCACCTATAATCAGAGCATGCTTGAATCAGACAGGCGCCAGAAAATACATGTTAGTGTCATACATGTAAGTTTAAAATTTTTCATTTCTCATCTTATGTATAACTATTAATTTCATTACATCGACATTTTTGAAATACGATTAACTATTTTGGATGGTGGCTAGTGGCTGAACCCAGAACGGGTGTTTCTGCCTAGTTGGGACTCGTCAGTTGGATGTACATGTATCCCAGAGTTGATATTCACTACAGTACTCGAATCCAGTACTGTTTACTTCAAACACCATCGAGTGTCTACTCAACTACTGAGTTCAGACAGCCACTAGCTTGTTCACTGTTCTGAATTCAACTCCACTCCCTTATTGGTTGTTTGAATCTTCGAACTGAAATTGACCTGCCTTTCCGATCAGAATGCCGAGAGTTGTTTGGGTTAGCTAGTTTCAGTCACGGAGATTTTCGCAAATATAATTTCCATTTCGACGTCTCCCATTAACTCTGCCCTCAACTACTGAGAAGCTATTCGTGAAAATTTAAAGTTAAGTGAAGTGACAAATTAGCTTCAGTCATTGTAGCACAATTTCATGACCAATTCTCCAGTGTCCCTCTGTTTGTGATATTACATCACAAAAATGGTATACTCGGAATTCACTTAAACTTTCGATAATATTCCATTGTCACTATGATCATAAAATCATCCAAAAGACCAGAAAATAGATCGTCCTACAATGTATGAACATCGTTTAATCAATCACTTCATAAGCATTTGAAACTTACGAATTAATGTTACCCACAAAATCAACTGCCTAATTTTACTAAATGCAAACTGAAGAACGTCAAAGAGGATAAATTTAACATCACCTACAAAAACGTTAGATCTGTTGTGTTTACAACCGCATCAAACAAAATGGATATCCCCGTCATCTACACATAGATGAACATAGATTGGCAGTTAGAAGACACTGCATTACTGTCATGTATATCAATCCCCACAGATGACTATGGAAATAAATTCGGCTAGTAAAATCCCAGACTTCCGGATTGAAATCCTCTAAGAATTCTGGGAAATTCCTTCGAGCAAGACATTTAGTACAACTCGCAACCAATATAAATATCGACGTTAGATTCTGTTTACCAGTTTTGACAAAAAAAGGTTGGTCAGTCATGTGATCAGATGTTAACCTAACAAAGTAATCAACGGAGTGCTTTAATATGACTGTTGATGAATGCTATATACTCAGTTTTCACAATCGATCAATTGCTGAAATCCATTTCTAGTTCATATTATAATTCTTAAATTCTATAGGACCCACCGTATGCAGTACGTTTAGGTCGGAATAAATGGACAGGATACTGTGTAGAGGTGTTTGAGGAAATCGCTAGACGACTAAATATTGATTACGAATTCGTAGAACAAACTGATGGTGATTATGGCACCAGACTTGAAAACGGTCGTTGGTCAGGGATGATTGGACAGGTTTCTAGAAAAGTAAGATCAGTTAATAGATAGTATCAAATAATTGCATACCGTTTGGTTTTCATAAAATTGAATTTGTGTAACGTTTTCATTTTAACACACATTGACTAAAATTACTTACTTACGCGTAATTTCGAACTCTAAGTTATTCTGATTATCCACCTAGCTGGAGACCGATTGCAAACCAGAAAACTCCAGACTGATGTTGCCCTCGTGTTCTGGCTCTTCAACTAATCGGTCCTACCTGTTTGGTGTCACCTCTTGACACTAACACCGCTGAATGCCGTCCCGATGGCATAAAAGTTAGGAATTCGCATGCGAGACTTAAGGCTCTGCATGCGGAACCGTGTATGGCCACCGCTGAGTAGTCTAGCACTAGGACCAGATGGCTGCTCAGGGCTTCAAGGTTTTCAATGATGGTTTAACTTAGATCGGTTCATAATTTCAATGCAAAACACGTTTGTTTCAAAAGTCGACAATTTAAAATAATAATCGCTGATTGGTCTGCTTTTAAGCACAGCCAATGAATTAACGAAAATACTCTTTACCTTAATTATTAATACTCAACCATGCAGTATAAGAAAATAAATAAATAATACAAACATTCTGGTTACCTTATGGTTTCAGTGAAACACATGTAAGATTTCAAAAAATCTAGAGGGAATCAATGATTGGATCAAAACTTTCAAAACAATGCATTAAAGAGAGCGACCGTTTTAAAAATCTACAAGTATGGCCTAAATTTTTCAAAGCTCCCCGGATTAACTTTTTAACAGTAAAATCCACAATACACTTATACAGTTTATAGGCTAATTTTCGACAAACGGTTTGATCGAAAATCTAGAAGCGGTTATTTGCTAAAGACTTTACGTTCCTGCTCTGTTTTCAATAATCTAAGAAGTCAGAAAGAATCTATACCCTTTCTTACTTGGATCATACCTGGATAAAATACTGTAATATTTTTTTCTGTCATTACCTATGTACAAACGTTGAGTCTCTCCTGAAGACGAGTGCGCCACAGGCATCTGTACCGATTTCAATTTAATCACCCAGGTTCAACGGTCAACAATATCTATTATTAGAGGTAACACCAAAGGCATTTTCGCTATATGCTGCTACATAACTAGGTAACTTTTCAAAGCGTCCAAAATACCACAACCTTTATTCAGTTACTTATGTCTTGTTTCATCCTAAAAATACAGAATACTGACATTGGCTTGGGACCATTGATTCAGGATGCAGAAAAATCTTTGATTGTTGATTTTACAGTACCTTATTACGAATCTGTTGGCATTACAATGGTCAGTAAAATAAATGAAGATCTTAAACTTGGTGCGTTGTTTTTCCTTGATGTATTCACGTGGTAAGTAACGAAGGATTTAAAAATATTATATGCACGAAACCTTTATAAATTTTTTTGACCAAGGAAAGAATAGGATAATTTTTGATTGAGATCATGAACCGATTGATATTAGACCACCATCGAAAACCTGGAAGCACTGGACGGCCGTTTCGTCCAATTGTGGGACTCCTCAGCAGTGCGCATCCACGATCCCGCTCGCGAGACTGAAGGCCCTGAGTTCAAATCCCGCGAGCAAGATCGTGGATGCGCACTGCTGAGGAGTCCCACAATTGGACGAAACGGCCGTCCAGTGCTTCCAGGTTTTTGATGGTGGTCTAATATCAATCGGTTCATGATCTCAATCAAAAACTTAACAATCTCCACAACCCCTAAACTGATAATAGGATAATTCTTAAATATGTTAAAGTTGGAAAAAATGGGGTCGGAATATGATCACCGCTCGTAGATAAAACTTTCTAAATAATAAGTACAACTTCACTTTCTTCATACATTGAATTCTTTTCTGTGCCTACAAGATATGTTTAACTGAAGAAAAATAACAACCACAAAGTAAAATAAAATCGGATCATATGCAGAGGTGGATGAAATTTTGTCCGAGTTAAAAAGTCAACAGAACATCTCGACAGAACCGAATAAGCAAGCACATAACCATTTAGCCTCCTGGATGGATTTCAATTTTCTAAAATTCCAGACTTCAGTCATTTGTTAACTATCTTCACTCTCGATTTGGTCAACTACATAGATCAAATGATCCAATCATCTTCAAAACAAACATCTAGAAGTAAATTCCTCCTGAGAGATGAATCTGATGGAACATATTTTTAAAAGCAATATCTTGCATTCGACAACACGTTATTCACGAAATTGTAACTAAAAACCATCAGAGAAGAATTTACCCGAAATAATCGTTTTCTCAGTAAACCAACATCAGTCTGATATTAAATCACACTTCCAGTTCTATATTTTTCTAAAAGAAGCTTTAAATCTTTTCCAAGTTTGCTCGAGAAAAAGTAGACCACCATAATATAGTCTACATAGGTCTAGGCAAAATCTAAAACATAAGTAATATGATGAAAAAGCTTTGGAACGTTTGATTAAGTTAGATAATTTGAAAGGCATTAATAGTCATTCGAAACCAACGAAAGAAGCTGCACTTTAGTTATCATCTAAATTTAATTATATTTGTTTATATTCATGTGCTAGATCACGTTTGGCGAGGAAAGTTATGCAATTGATTGAAGATGTAAAGTTGAGTATGGTGTAATGAATAACGATCTGGTATGCTTTTTTGTCTCTCTAATATCGTCATATGGATTAAATGTAAAGAAAATAACCGTGAACTAATGGATGGCCAAACCGATTTCTATATCAAGTTTATTCTTCTGCTTCGATAGAGTACTGTCTTTCTTGATATAAACTCTGTAATCTTATTGGAGTATTAGATGTTGCACATGGAATAGCTTATGTTGACATGATTATTGTCAAAAACGATTCAATAATCTAAATGCTCGAACTGTAAGGATTAAAAATGACAGATAGCGTTGTAGTGATGACAATAGTGACTGATAAATCAGTTCTAATACCAATCACCTTACATCTACCTACAATTACCAGTAATTCTTAACTCTACAAAAGGCCCCAAACAATAAGTTAGGCTGTAATATCAACGATTATGAAGACCCTCTGAAACGGAAGTCAGAGTTCATGGCTGAAATAAATGAGGTTTCAACCTAGTGAGGTAATAAATACACTATTTATATTCCAACCCTGTATCATGACAATTCATAGTAGCCGTTCGGTGAACAGTAACACTGAGAGAAGAAACTTAAGGCGCTCCTGACTATAAAAAGGCGTGACGGCATCACAGGGCTTCCCTCAGTAATATGGTCACTCTGCCTTCTTTTAAGGGAAGGATGTAGTTGAGAAAGGTTACTTAAACATTTGTCACCTTTCCTCATGGAATTCCGTTACTGATGGTAAACCCCTTAAATTATGGAGCTAACACACCACAATCTCACATAAAGGCCATGTGTGGCTGGTCTCAAACAGCTGTCCCTTGAGCTCTGAGGTCACAATTACAGGTCGCTAGACCACTAGTGATGTAGGTTTGTTTGTGGGTACCTCAAGAGCAAATATTTGTTTACGGTGTGGGTAACTTGGAAGTAGAAACTGCCCACACGCCTCTAACAGTTAACAGCCATTCAAGGGATATTTTGAAATGTTTTTTGAACCTTTAGTTGATCAGTTGGAGCAAAGCGTTTGTCTACAGTAACTGAAGGATGTTCATAAAGGTTAGAAGACATGTTAGCTAACTTTGCCAAAACAAATTGATCATTTTTTCGGACAAACTGACGTTTTTCAAGTTAGATTTATCGCGATCAATATTTTACGTAAAACTGAGCTTCACATAACCAAACACTGTCACTTCTAAAATTTAATTTTAAGAACAACGATATCCTAAAATCTGCTACTAGTTTCATTGAACTCAGGAGCTTAAAGAGGTATTCATTTCTACTGACTGAGTTCCATATAGAGTTAAATTCTTTAGTTAAAATGTTAAAATGAATGATCCTAGTTCTATGGACAAAACGTAAGCACCCAAATAAAACATTCGTAAGTAATCAATTTCAAAATTCACAAATTCATTTGAAGTGAACATTGTTCACTAAAAATCAGTTCAAATTAATCAATAATGAAAGTTAGCGGACGAAATCCTCCTAAAATGAATACGTGAATTTCAAAGCTGACTTCTTGCGAATGTTGTATTTGAGGATTTAACATCCCAAACTATTTCATATATACTGCAATGGAATTAATATATTGACTTGTAGACGTTGGTTATCAATATATACTACTTTCACTGTTTCATATGATATTTCCAACCTTGAAACTTCTTTTAAAAAATTATTTTCTCATCTGTTCCTTGATCAATAATTGCGAATGATGCCCTTAAGTTAACATAATTTATTGAATGTGTCTTTTTGTCACATTCGTAGTCATAAGTATGAAAGTCTGTAATATTTAAACTATGCTTTACAGAGCAAAACTACTTTTCAACTTGTGACAGGTTTCTAAATAAATATATACCATATGAGAGGCATGCTGTAGTTCTACTCAGTCGATGAAATATATTTTCCGGTCACATTAGTGAATCAGGTACCCTACGAAACATTGAATGAATATCGTGCTATATCCCCAATAATTGAATTTGAAAGTTATTACCAATCTATCATAACTCAATAGTTAAATGATACCGTCTTTGCCACGAGGCTGAAGGGTCCTGGATTTGGTCTCATGTGGGAATGCATATGTGCACCACAAAGTAGTCTTAAGCTAGTACATAACAACTTTCTAATGCTTTCAATAATTATCCAGCTTTATAACGTCGAGTGCATGAATAGTAATTCAATCAATGACAAGTAGGTATAGTGATAAATGTAATTGCATTCTTTCTCATCATTTCCATTATCATATGAATAATTGATCTTCGTTATGTCATGAGTTTCCAAATTAACTAAATTTTTCAAATTAAACTCCGAAATTTTCAACAAAAGTTCTCATTCTTCCAATTAATCAAATTTACTTTTAATAGGGATGTGTGGGTAACAGCTGTCGTAGCTGTATTTATTATCGGTTTTCTGCTGGCATTCATTGACAAATATTCACCGTATAGCTATCAAAATCAACCTAAAAAAGGTGATAGTGAATCTATGGGCACAGTATTTACTGTAAAAGAATCTCTCTGGTATGTATTAGGTTCCTGCACTCAACAAGGTAAAGTGATCAAAGTTTTGTCTTTTTCATAAGAAGTCATTGAATTTTTTATCTGATAAATTGTAACTGAAACACAATTATAACAATATTTTCAAGTTCATCGCATCGAGATAAAAAGTTAGGGGATTGTAGATATATTGATTAGGTTTTTGATGGAATCTTATTTCTGCAATACAGCTTAATATTCGAACTAATTAAATGCTTTTTCTGGTCTTCACACTAGTTTAAATACTTCTAGAAGTTCACGTCTGCATAGAATTTCTTGAAAGTATTTTTCACCATTTTAGAACATAACATCGTACTGGGATCTAATATAATGGTCAGAGGCAAGTGTTAGAAAAATAATTCATTTCAAGGTATTCGTTTGGTAATTTCGTAGTCATTTTCTTGATTTAAGTTTTGATCCACACATGAGACACTGATTGAGAAGTTTTAAAAGAAAAAACCTTATTCTCATGTTTCCAGAACAAAGAATCAAATAAAGATATGTTGTTTTTGCTAAACTTAACATTAGAGATGAACACTAGTAGAATAGTCTTAACAATATACTGTAAATATATAGGTAATAATGCTAATAATAACAAAAGAAACACACTGTCAATCCAAAGCCAGGAAAGTTAAATTCTCTAATTAAGATTTCCTTGAAATTTAGTTCTATGTGTCTACGACTTTTTGATCGTTCATCTTGATATGGTTTATGGTCATAAGTGGTGAAATTGTTGCTTTAGGATAATTATGCTGAATGTGCAACTTATGTTTGAAAACGTTTTATTCATAAAAAGTAGTAAAATGTAAAAACAAACGAATTATACAACTTTGAGTCAAATACCTAGCTACATCAATCTCTTGAAGCGTAATCAAAATTAAAAGTGAATTCTGCAACTGGTTCTACAAACAGATAAGCCCAACAGTACTAGTACAATTTATGATAAAAACTCATGTGATGCATAATGTTATGAACTGTACATGCATGAAACAAGTAACTTCAAGGCGTCAGCCTACTGAAGCAAAAATATCCGCATCATTTCATATATCTTACTTGAAAGAAGATCTCTAGAACACGACTGTCTCCAAAACGTGATTAGACAAATACCCAAAGTTCAGGATACTCTAGATGAAAGAAACTTATCCACAAGAATAATCTGGACCACATCAACATGTATAAAGAGAAGAAGTGGAGTATTTACTTAAACAAGTAACTCATGACTATTCTAACTAATGTTAAACAGGTTGAAATCATGAGCCAGTTGAAGCTAGACCATCATTGGAAACCTGGAAGCACTGGACGGCCGTTTCGTCCTGGTATGGGACTCCCCAGCAGTGCGCATCCACGATCCCGCACCACGCGGGGCTCGAACCCAGGGCCTACTGGCTTCGCGCGCGAGCACCTAACCACTAGACCACTGAGCCGGCATCCAACGGTGTTAATGTCTAACTTCAACCAATCCACGAAGTTGCGCCACCGTACACCATTGTCTTCAGTGAGTTGTTATCTCACAACAGACCGGTTGAACTCCACTGGTAACGGCTTCTCACTAGAACTCCAGGAGTTTTTTCCTGAAGTCAGTCACTAATGAGCAGCGGGATCGTGGATGCGCACTGCTGAGGAGTCCCATACCAGGACGAAACGGCCGTCCAGTGCTTCCAGGTTTTCAATAGTGGTCTAGCTTCAACTGACTCATGATTTCAACCTGTGAAATTTCCAAAACTCTCCACAAAACCCATTCTGATAATGTTAAACAATTAATGCGGAATGTAAGTGTCCTGGTTAATATAAATAACTGTGCATTGTGATTGTTGTAAACTTTCCTCAAACAAACAACATTATTACTATTATTATAAAATTAATATTTTAAAGAAAAATATTCTTTTCGATAAATTCTGTTCAGGTTCTACAATTATATATCCAAATTAGTAATCCGAAAATGACCAAGTTAAAGGCAAAGTACATCGCTAAAAGTTAAAGCATGTGAATTTAGGATTGTTACCACCGTTCGATGCCGGCTCAGTGGTCTAGAGTCTAAGTATTCGTGCGCGAGACTGATAGGTACCGGGTTCGAATCCTGCGGGGTGGGATCGTGGATGAGCACTACTGAGGAGTTCCATGCTAAGACGAAACAGCCGTCCAGTACTTCTAGGTTTTCCATGGTTTTCTAGCCTCAATTGACTTATGAATTCAACTATAGAATTTAGGATTGTCAAACGAAATAGAATAGAAATGTTAATGTTGATATGACTCATATGGAATGTTAACTTGAATCAGCTTATAGGTTAATTGAAAATTTAAGATTAATGATCAGAATAAATATGGGTTAGGCAAGGTGGGAGAAATAACAGTGAAATTACAATTTGATCAAATGTTCAGTGGAAGACTATATTGTGCATGAATTATATACTGGGAAGATTAATAATGATGTTTAAGCAATAATAATAATAATAATAATAATAATAATAATAATTATTATTATTATTATTATTATTATAAGAATGCAAAGATTTATAAATAAAGATAACAAAGACAATTACATTTAACTACGAAAGGTCGTAAGTACAGCAGTCAAATTAGGTCATTCAATAGCTAAGATTAATTCTAATTAATTGGTCTTGAGGTTGGCCAGGGGAGGAGAGACGGTTGAAGATATTTTTTTTGTAAACATAGCTCCGGTTTCTTAATGCAGATGGCTACTACTTAAACCGCTTGAAGGACTTTGAGTCTGACAGGCTTTGGCAAAAAATTATTGACCCGATTTATTAATTTGGATAAATAATTGTAGAACCTGAAGCGAATTTATCGGAAAGAATATTATTCGTTCAAATATTAGTCTTTAAATATGATAGTTATTACAGTCAAATGTATAAAATGATAATAATTTCACTAAGTGAAACAAATAATAAATAAACAGAACAAATAAAATAGATTATTTGCGTAGAACCAGACAATTTTCAAATCTTTGTATTTCATTCATTTGACAGTCAAACCGGAAAATATAAGAGTACTAAAAGGGAGGTCAGTTCGTATGATTAATAACGCATTGAACACCAAAGAAACAAAGTATGATGGAAGATTACATTTTCTTAGTGCAGTCGAATCAGTACAAAGATTATAATTAATAATTAAAAGTTAAATAAATCATCAAACACAATCGTCCATAATGGGATAGTAACAAACAACATTATCTACAACCATTTTCCTTTCTTCGTTTCTACAGGTGAATACATGGATCCTCGTTCAGCTTCAACACGCATCTTAGTAGCCGGTCTCTGGCTGTTAGTTCTTATTATAATTGCAATGTTTTCGGCTAATTTAGCGGCGAAATTAACCGTCTCCGGTTTACAAGGGGAAATTAATACATTCAAGAAACTAATTGAACAGAAAGAAGTCAAAGTAGGACCAAAAATAAATTATATATATATATATATATATATATATATATATATATATATATATCATAATTTATTCTAACAATCACGTATTAAGATGATGGTTGGTATAATTGAAACATACAATCAATGTAAAAAATAAACAGTGATAAGTAGTGATTTGGACATTTCACTATTCTTGATGTGCCTTAGCTTTCAATCGTTAAATTAAATATAAGGTACTGAATCATTTGTGATATTCTCACTACATGATTGGTTTGAGATGTGTCAAACGAAACAATAACAAGCAAATCTCCAATGTATCGGCTTAAAGTACTAGCCGTCTTCATCGGCATTCTCTTAAGTTATGAGATCTCCAGAGTACATCTCCTCCTAAACTAGTCCCACTTGAACAATTTCATTAGTGAATAAATCTGTAAAAGTCATGAGTTTTCGTTGAATTGAGTTGAACAGATGAATCGACCATAGAATAAGTAAATAGAAACATGCAACAAATTTCTCACCTGTGTCTGTTGCTTCTTCAATAGTATATGAAAGGTAACAATTTCTGAGATTAGCAATACAACGCCAATTAAAAGTCACATCCAAGTAATGAGAACATACCACCAACTTCTTCAAAATCATATCCTTCATCAACAGACAATGTTCCACAATATCAGCGTTTTTATTGTCTATCTTTCCCGATATCCCCTTTTAATGACTTATTGACAATTTATTTATGAAATTACTGATATGCAGCATATTATCTATTTATATCTTCGTATTTGTTTTGCAAACCGAATTTCGTTTGAGAAAATAATGATAGAGGGTAAAAAAATTTAGTCATGATGTTATTCCTACCTATGGTATCCTGGTTAGCCATTCTGAGTCTTCTAGATTGACCTCCCAAACCAAGTCTTCTACAGGTTGAAACTAGACTTCGCTTCTGTTTCCATGTTAGATACTTATCACGTGATGTATCTACGATCAGCACATGGTTCATTCTTGTACTTCCTCATGTGTGAAATGGAAAGCTAAGTTTAACCTGTTCAGTTTGGGTTAACACATTTGTATTATGACTTGAGCGAAATTCCATCATTGATTTTTCAGTACCACTCGGATCAAAACATTATGCAAATACGAGTGATTAGTAGTGATAATAACGTATTTATTAACTGAAGCAATCAGCAAAATTGAATAATATGCTTCTATTGTTGATTGAGACGGAAATGAATAAAAGTGAATTTGGAAGATAGTCTAGCTTTTAAACTTGTTACTTCCATCACCGACTGATGGTAAAAATATCAACTCTCTAAATAAAATACCTCCCTCAATGACTGAAACCATGTTCATTTAAAATGAAGTTACAATAAAACGTGTCAAATCGTTCACTAACAGTAATTCTATGACATATCTTTAAGATATTGATCACTGACTGGATGTGTTTGAATTACTTGTTTACGAATATGTAAGATAATGAGACAGTAATATTTCTGAATCCTGTTACTTCATCACAATTTACACACTTTTTCTCCACTATTATACCTTTTCAGTATACAGTTCGAAGCAACTCATCAGAATTGAAGTTCTTTGAGAAGTTGAAAAGTGCTGAAGAATCAATTTTTGAAATATGGAAACAAAAAGTTGTTTATAACAGTGAGCTCCTTTGAATTTCTAGCCCAACATTGTTAACGTGCAATTTTGAAAATCTGAGAAGTTAGAATTTATGAACTGAATCTGTAGTGACTGGTGTTGATAGAACCCCTAAGTTTGCAAGTTTTTCTAACCAACAACTACCTTACTTCAACCGTAAAAATGAAATGAAAATCAAATTTCAACTTCTTTCCCATTACCTAGTATTCTTTATTACTATCGTGTGAACTCAAGAGACTTAAATGCTGTGATATATATTTATACATATATTCTTGAAAATGCTCGTCATTAATGTACTTTGGTCGACTTGCGAATAAAAATCTTATAATACTGTGATGAATGAGAAGACAAGTGGGAACAATCGAACATATTTGAACACAGAAGTACAGAACATCTTAGTAGAATCTGAGAACCATACAGTAAATACTTCATTTGCAAAATGTCAATCAATCGTCTCAGACATCATTGTTTCTTCGTTTCCACACCAATCATTCTATTTTCTCGTTCTCTTTTCTTCGATCTTCTTAACTTTCTACCGCCACGCATTTCACTTAATATTGGTGATACATACCACTTATATCTGTCGACATCAAAAGCATACACCGCAATACTTTTTACCCTGCGTATACTGTTTAGGCTATTGCTCGAGTCTTAATCTTCGACGGACAGGGTTAACCTTGAGTTAAAGCTGAGAATAATTGTAATTCCTTTTATTCCAGAATTTACGGCCATCTTCTAGCCCAGTCTTCAATCTGATTGTATAACACAGCAAGTAGTGGTACAGTAGCATATCTTACAAGAATCAACTCATACTATGAAATAGATTGATTTCCTGACCGCCCATAAAATACGCCTAAAGTGAAAGATAACATGAAAAAGGTTAATGATTAATTTATCATAATTAAGGTATGGTAAAACATATAGCAATGATTAATGGGTCCACTGGAAATGTGAAGTAAGGAGAATCTACTAATGCAATAATACAATTATCTGATATTTAAAACAATTAGTCCCTTTGATAGATTTCGATAATGCAATGAGAAGACGTAGTTTATCAGAATTATCTGATAGTTATACAATAAAAAGATAAACGATAATAACCTGTAGTTTGATCCCAAAAGTTACATTTTTTTATATTCACTCCTCCACATCGATGATCTGTTGTTATAGTATTATTATTACAATGGACTGGGTTTCCACTACCTTTAGTCACTCTCATTAATTGACGATTGATTTAAACAGACATTACTTTTCTATTTGGCTGATGAATTGGATCACACTGAAATTGTCAAGCCGTAATTTCGCAATCCCTCCGACAACTCTTGTTTAATGAGTGGAAAATGAAATCAGGCAGATAAAAAACAAGATTATCTAGAAGATACGGACTTATAATGAAAGTGTTATTCAGAAAATTATTTAATACAATTCATTTACCTACTAATACTTAGTCATTCTGTATTCAAAAAGGACGAAATTTCAATATAAAGATCTAAAGGGTTCAATCAATCTTCTGAATTCTCTGTGTCTTAAATTTATAGGTTCTCAAAGTCAATCTTAAGATTAGAGCTGTCCTCATGAACTGATTATTAGCTCTAGAGATTTTGATGACGATAATTTTAAAGCAGTTAGTCCCTTTTATAAATTTCGATAGAACAATGAGAAGACGATAATTTTAACATGATGAAAATACCTTCACTTACTATACATATAAAATGCAATGTGTTTTTTCATATTTTCGAAAACTTTAATCTTTATATCATGTAGTATGATGGGGCACAGACCCACTGATTTTCAAAAATATAATCGTGGTCACCTAGATCTTCCTGACAATAAACTTGTTTACCATGAACTGATAACACTCTGAAAAACATCATACACCGTGAGATTCTGTAATAACTGGTCATCGAATAATGGTTTACTATATCCCATTAGTCAACAAACAATATTAGAAGGCTTTGTCGGCCAAGTTTTCTTACAACTTACTACTAAAATCAACCTACAAGATTATATATTTTTGAATGTTTATCTCAACAGCAGATTACCATCACTCAGTCATATCATGTCATTATATTCATCTATTGACAAGGATTCTAGTCGCTCATTTTAGCAATTAAAGACCCATTCTTAATCGAATCGGTCCCCATAATATAACCATAGTATGCTAATAAGTTTTTGGGAAAGTGATTAGCTCCAAGTCTTTAATAAACATAGTGGCTATTCTCCGAACCAAAAGTGATGACAGTTTGAACATATGCTTTATTGATTTGGCATAAAAGGTGAGTTTAAACAAACGTGTTTAAATGCTTAAGCACAATTAAAAAGTGTAGACAACATTCAATTCTTCCATTATTCAATAGTAAAATTATTCATGTTTTGCTCTTCAGATGAATTCACAGCAAATTATACAGTTTGGCAATATCCAGTCACTGAGAAATATGGAATAATTTACAGTAGAATGCGTGAATGGGGCTTTTCAAATAGCCATGAAGAAACGATTAAACTTATCAACGACGGTTGGGTAATATTTATGGAAACTCCAAGGGCTGCTTATTACATAGCCAACGAATGCAAGCTGAAACGATTCGATAACCGTATAGGAAGTTGGTATTATAGTATGATATTAATACCGCGTTCTCCGTTAACTTCTGCTTTTAATGAAATGTAAGTTTTCCGATAAATTACCTAAATAAAATCAAGATAAAGATAATAATCGTTTAGGTAACTGGCAATCTTATCATTCTTTTATTTGAAACGTAATCAAATTGATGTCACATTGAAATTGGCAACCTTTATTTTAAGGAAAATATTGACAGCTATACGACACGTTTAATAAGCTGAAATACTGCTGCCTGTATGATTACCATATCATAAACTATGACCAAGCTAACGAATTCACTTACAATAAAGAACTTCCACAATATCATTCCTTTGCTTTCTCTTCTCTGAAAGTACTGGTGGTTTTATAAAAATGAACGTATTAAGAAAAAAAGTGTTAAATGAGCAACACAATTATTTCCATCACTTCACACTTCGTCATAAAAGAAATATAAACTTTTCATTCACAGAATCAAACTTGATTATTTAAAGTGATGGAAACGAAAATGGCAGCTAGAAATATCTTGATTCTTTGACTAATTAGCATCATAGAAGGACTCTCAGTGTAGTCAAGCTGTATGTTAGCTTTTCAATCAGTTTAGTACAGAAATAATAAATCAAAGATAATCTATTGATATTTGGCTTTTGTTAGGTTGTTTACGCAAGCCGTACTCGGATAATCCTATCTATATCCACTTGCGACTACGTTTTCCATAAAAATTACAGTCTTTTCTCGTTAATCCAGAGCCTGAGAAGAAAGTTACTGAAAACTAGTATTCACTTGTTCTATATGGGGTTTGTTATCTTGTTTAAGTAGAGAATCACTAAAATTTCCTTTGTACTTTAAATACCAAAGTGCATGCTTAATACAACGCATATTCCGTTTGAGTTCACTAAGCCACTTGGAAATAATTACTATGAGACTTTATAAACGCTTTAGTATTCATAATCACCTCACTGAAGTCTGACTGTATCTTGAATTTATATCATGGATTATTTGAGGTTCGAATCAATTACTACAGTTTGCAGCTAGATGTAATTAGGACTGTGCGTTTTAGTTCATAAAAAGAGAAAGAATGAACGTCTATATCCATACAACAATTTAAAATGGATGTTTCAATCGAAGTACAACTCATTGATGAAAAAATAAGTTTCATTTGTGACTGAATAAAACCATAATTCAGAAATTCAATAAAAAGTATTAAGACAATCAAGCCTTACAAAATAAAAGACGCTTAAATTATAAGCCCTGATTGCAAACAAAAATATTTATAAACTGACAATATATTACAAAAAAGAATGTCACTCCAGCTATAAAAACCAAACTTCACAACAACGCTTATTGCAAGAGAATGAACTTTATTATGTCCATAAACATAGCTTACTTTTCGCCCTAGAATTTATTCTCTAGAAGCAGATTATACACTGGACACACTGAGAGCTAAGTGGTGGGCTAGTAATACAAGTCACTGTGGAACATTGTCTGTTGATGAAGGATATGATTTTGAAGAAGTTGGTGGTATGTTCTCATTACTTGGATGTGGACTTTTAATTGGCGTTGTATTGCTAATCTCAGAAATTGTTACCTTTCATATACTATTGAAGAAGCAACAGACACAGGTGAGAAATTTGTTGCATGTTTCTATTTACTTATTCTATGGTCGATTCATCTGTTCAACTCAATTCAACGAAAACTCATGACTTTTACAGATTTATTCACTAATGAAATTGTTCAAGTGGGACTAGTTTAGGAGGAGATGTACTCTGGAGATCTCATAACTTAAGAGAATGCCGATGAAGACGGCTAGTACTTTAAGCCGATACATTGGAGATTTGCTTGTTATTGTTTCGTTTGACACATCTCAAACCAATCATGTAGTGAGAATATCACAAATGATTCAGTACCTTATATTTAATTTAACGATTGAAAGCTAAGGCACATCAAGAATAGTGAAATGTCCAAATCACTACTTATCACTGTTTATTTTTTACATTGATTGTATGTTTCAATTATACCAACCATCATCTTAATACGTGATTGTTAGAATAAATTATGATATATATATATATATATATATATAATTTATTTTTGGTCCTACTTTGACTTCTTTCTGTTCAATTAGTTTCTTGAATGTATTAATTTCCCCTTGTAAACCGGAGACGGTTAATTTCGCCGCTAAATTAGCCGAAAACATTGCAATTATAATAAGAACTAACAGCCAGAGACCGGCTACTAAGATGCGTGTTGAAGCTGAACGAGGATCCATGTATTCACCTGTAGAAACGAAGAAAGGAAAATGGTTGTAGATAATGTTGCTTGTCAGTATCTCATTAAGGACTTCTCAAATGCTTTATTCAATAAGGACCTAAGTATTAGAACTTAAACTCTTTGGACCGATTTGTGCTTTGTGCAGTCTGCGTTGTCCTATACTCTGTGTTTGTTATATCGAAATAGTATGCTTACTAGTCATCTGTTACTCGATTCAATATCCTAACTTAAATAAATCCAAAATGAATCTTGTTTCACAATCGAATTCAGGTCAAACCTAATAAATTCGGCTTTTTCCTCATACGTGGAATATGATGTTAAAACTTAACTTTTATTACCAAAAACCATATATTTACCATACTGAGTTTCGACATTTTCGGAACTTGAACCTTCCTTCTTGATACATTCAATACCCGCCAAATCTCGTATCACTGCTCTTTTTTATTTTCAAGCTAATCGTTTGACTGCTGATTTTAGATCTTAAATGGTTCTCATTGCATGATAGTTACAGTTTTGTAGACAATGCTGACGAAGTATCTGAAATCCATACAAATTGTTTTATTTTTAAGCTGTGAGAATATCAAATGATGATTGGAATATTCACGGTCTTCGAAAGTAAATCATTCTGTATAAAAATTCAAGCGATTTTCACTACACTTACTAATAAGGTTTATTTTTATTCTTTGACTTGAATGTTTTCACAAAAAAGACTAAAAACCTCTTATTTTAGGTACAAAAGAGATATCAATACAGTTAAAATTGGCAGGGAACTAATTTTTTCATTTTTTAAACTATGTTTACTGACTTAATTGACACCAAAAAGTCTAGGACCTTGTTTTGTTATACTCCTTTGATATTCTATAACAGGTCGCAAATGAACCTCGAAAATTACCACCGCAACCTGTAACAAACAGTGTACCAGAATCAATACTAAAGGAAAAAGAAAGTACAAATAATTTATCTACGAGAAATCCAGTTGCATCAAATTTAATAACAATTACTACAACCGATTATAGTGATCCTAATCAAGAAGCTATATCCTTGAATGAATAACTGATTATAACAGCTTCCAGAAATTGATAAACTTTCAGTCTTCATATAATCTATTTTAAAAAACACTCAATTATTTCAAGAGTACTTGATGTTCATCACAGTTGTAGAATGATTTCATTACTTTTATCATTAATTTATGAATGTGTATTCTAATAAAATATAATTTTCTGAACAAGGCATGAACAATAAGAACTGATGGAGAAAACGATTTCCTTATGTAACAATACATATTACCACATATAAACAATAAATAATTAAGTTAAAAAATAAGGTATAGTGGTAAACGTAGACTGTTATAATTCAAGGAAAATGAAACAGCTAGTCGAAAAGAATAAATCTCAACCACGTGGAATGATAAATTGTCCTTGACATTATTGCATATTCTTGTGAGAAAACCTAGAGCTTGTAAGAAAAGAAATAGGTTATAGAAAAAATACAAATGAGCACGTTGACATACGATTTGGTTAGGACCAAATGAGCTTGTTGAGAAAAAGTCAGTAAATGGGTAAGGAGACACTATTATGTAGGGGGTGAGAAGTTATTACTGCTCACAGCAGCTAATCAATTTTTTTCTATTATATACGTAACGTAGGTCAATTTCCAAGAATAGCCTGTATAGAGACGGGTAGTTTTGAGGTTATTAGTACACCTATCACATGGAAGACTTCATAAATATCCACTTCATATCCGATGCTAAACAATTACCTGAAGATCGACTCTGTTAAGAACTCCCTTCCTTATATCCAGACGTGTAATCTGATTTCGTTTTCGGAAAATGTCTAAGACCGAAAAACAAATCTCACTTGAATCTTTTCGCAAAATCTTTGCAAGAATAGCTTCAACTTTCCTTCAGAAAACAGATAATGTTTTGCTGATTCTCAAACTTTCCCGAATAGACTAATTTACTCAAAACATAAAAAGACAGAAATTTTTATACTTTATAGACAAGCCTGAAAATATGGGCTATGAACCTCGTAATTTGTCGGGGATAACAATTTTATGATTATCTTAATCGCAGCGTTTAATCTATTCCATCAGAAGTTGAGCTTCACTTTATTCTAATATTAATAAGTAGTTTAATGTGGAATGACTTTAAAAAGAATGAAGCATGAATTCTGTGAAGGTTAACATATCAGTAGATGATAGGATATTTAAGACTAAAGATTTTATGTATGTCGACCACAAAACATTCTGGAATGTTAATGTGATATTGATTTTCAGATCCTTATGTGGCGCTTGTGTAAAATGATGATGTGTTTTGTCTTCACTTCTAATCCGATCAAAACTATTAGAGTGGTTAGCTCTGAGAATTATTAATTGGTTAGGGAAGAATATAAGAATGAAAATAAATTACGGCTCAGAATTATGAGAACTTTTTATGAATATCGAATTTACAGGAGATACGGCTGCTAAAATCTTGAATAAACGGACCTCAAAAGCCCTTAATAAAACGTTCTATTCAGCTAAGCTCCGTGTTGTTTACTCTAGCCGGCCTGCCATTCACGGATGTGTTAAAAATAAACTTCCGCTTTGGGCCATATCAATGTGCATCTATAAATTTACTTGCTCCTGTGGGACAGGTTATACTGGCCGCACAAAGCGATCACTTTCCAAACGAATCTCAGAACATTACTCGGAGTGGCTTTTAGAAGGAGAATGTAAAACAAACGTCAGTTCAATACAGGAGCACCTAATCAACTCTGGACACGTTTCTCCGAAGGAGTCGTCCTCTAAAATAGTGTACACAATCAAAGGAACTGGGTTGAAGGGAGGTTGAATTGAAAACTTATGTACTGCTGAGGCATTGACAATCCACCAACTCAAGCCCAAACCCTCCATGTAAAAACGATACTTTCAACCTCTCATCCTTTTTTGGCCTTAATTCCCTTCTGTAGTATGCTTCAGTGTTTTTTTTTAATTAGTGTATTGTAATTTTAAACCGTAGTCAGTTATTATAACCCTTTAAAAATGTCTATGATTATCATTCAGTTACTATTATGACCCTTATATTTTTCGTTTCCCTTCATATCTGTTAAGTGGGCAATTATCTTTCATTATTCTGACCCATAAATTATTTTCATCCTTATATTATTTTACTTATTTAGCTCCTTGATTATTTCACAACCTCAGTTGATATTCATAGTTTCGAATCTCTTTGTGATGCAATCTGTTATATCCTTCTATAGACATATATTTACTATACAACTATAAATACGAATGTACAGCTTAAGCAAATGTTTCTTCGGAAAGAAAATATTATATGCTGAGTTCTCTTTACTTTTCTTCAGTGACACAATGGATTATTTTGATAATATTTCTAGTAAAGCTCTCATGAAAGTGTTTACCGTCACTTTCGTTTTTTCTTTCATTCTTTTCTTGCTAATTCCAGGTTTTACTCAGTCGTTAAATACTAGACATACCTTTTACTGATGTAGAATGGCTAATTTCAGCCAACAAGTTTCGGACTGGCATCACACATTTCCTCAGTCAAAGGCATTATCACTAGGCTATTCGCGTAGCCAATTAAACTTTCCCCTGGGTATTGAATGGCCGTCATTTAGAATGGTTGGAATACCTCATGTTGAAAGCTGGAAGTCACGAGCCCGATGACCCTTCTGATAACCAGAGCAACAATCATTATAGGCACATGGAATGTCCGGACAATATAGGAGACTGGGAAGACTAGTCAAATAGCTGCAGAAATAAGGAGATGCAACCATGCGGTTGCATAGGACCCAAGTTAGACAGAAAAGATTATATTCGAGAGATATGTTGTTATACTCTGGTCGTGAAAAAGAAAACGTTTCGCACACACAAGCCCTCACACTGATGCTGTCTAAAGAAGCACTTGAAGTACTTATAGGATGGGAGTTTCATGGATCAAAAACCATAAAAGGATCCTTCAAAACAAAGGAGGGACTTACAATGAAAGTTATCCAATGCTATGTACTCATCAATGATAGCCATGACGACGATAACGATCAGTTCTATGAGAGGCTGCAGTCGATCGTAGTGAACCGGCCAGAAAAGAACCTGATCATTATGATTGGAGACCTAAACACCATAGTCGGGATGGACAACACTGAATATGAAGATATCATGGGACGACATAGACTGACAGGGAGAAGGGAACGAGAATGGTGACAAATTCGCAAATTTATGTGTATTCAACAAAATTGTTCCCCACAGACGCATACATAAAGCTACATAGGTCTCATCGGACCGCACTACAGAGAATCAGATTGGTCATATCTGTATCACTGAAAAATTCAGAAGATTAATGGAAGACGTGCGAACCAGGAGAGGAGATGACATAACTTCAGATCACCACCTGGTGGCAGCCAAGATGGAACTGAAGATAGAAAAGTACTGGACAATTGGGGGAACAGCACCACAAAGGTTCAATACAGCCTTCGTTCGAGACACTAAAGAAATCAGCGAATTCAAGGTAACTCTCAAAATCAGGTTCCAAGCATTACAAGATCTGCTGAAAGAAAAACAACAAACTAATATGGAGAACGATTGGAAAAGAATCAAAGAGGCACTAACTTCAACATGTCAGGAGGTACTAGGTTACAAGAAGTATCATCATAAGGAATGGATCTCTACAGAAACACTGGACAAGATCAAAGAAAGGAAAAACAAGAAGACAGCAATTAACAACAGCCGAACACGAGCAGAGAAAGTCAAGGCACATGCTGAATACACAGGATTGAGGAAGAGAGTGTACAAGAGCATTAGAACTGGCAAGCAGAAATACATGGAAGACCTAGCAGCGACAGTAGAAAAAGCTCCGACAGAAGGAAATATCAAAAAACTATATTACATAACGAAGAAACTTGCAGGGAAATATGGTAAACCTAAGAGGTCAAAGACATGGAATGTAAGTCAGTCACTGAGATTCATAAACAGAGGAACAGGTGGGTAGAACACTTTGAAGAACTCTCGGATAGATCAGCCCCCCTGAAACCAATGGACACCGAAACAGCACACAGACCTTCCTACACATATCGCTCTACTAAAAAATTGAAGAAATTTGCATGGCCATCAGACAAATGAAGAGTGGGAAAGACGTACGACAAAACAGTATGCTAGCTGAAGCACTGAAATCAGACTTAGAAGTAACTGTAAGCATGCTCCACATTCTAGTCAAGAGGATTTGGTGGGAAGAACAAGTACCGACGGACTGGTAAGAAGGATATCTCATCAAAATACCAAAGAAAGGGGATCTCAGTGTGAGAACTACGCAGACATCACACTACTAACGGTACCATGAAAAGTTTTCAACAGAAAGCTGTCAAACCAAATGAAATATTCAGAAGACGACCAGCTTCGAGGACAACAGACCAGATTCCGTAAGGATCGGTCGTGCACAGACAAAATCGCGATCATCGTTGAGCAATCAACTGAGTGGAACTAACTTGGAATCCTGAAGGAAAAAGTATAAGAAGACCAGTGAATATACTGCGACGGGAATAGGAAGCAAACATCAAAAGAATTAACAGCAACTGGACAGAACTGGAAAGGATTCCCGAGGACATAGTTTGATGGGAAAACCTGGTGGGTGGCCTGTGCTCCACCACGAAGGGTAACAGGAGTAAGTATCCGCACATAATTTGATCACTGAATAGTAACCAACTTCATTGTTGCATAGTCCTTATTGCAGTTGGAATTCAATCTACTTGTTGCTTACTTGAAAATGTATATGCCACTCGTTGTGGTTACAACAGTAATTTGATCTTAATCTTGATCCTACTGGTTAATAACCAGTAGAATAAAAGACTAATGGATTTTTGAAACTTTGCCATTAGTTTGTCATTTTTTATGTTATTAGAAAATCTATAGACTATTTATGTCAAAATTTGGTAAAAAGTATTCATATGAGTATAGTATTCAGTGAAAACTGGGAATATATATTACTTCAACTTTCAGCCTAAAAGTTTGGTCCCTTCACCTTAAGAAAATTAATCAAAATTCAGTTATCTTTTAATTTGATTACATTCCTAATAGTTCTGAACCATTTCATTTTAATTGCCAGAATTCTAACATATAATTTTTATTTACAATGCCTCAATGTCTCAAAGTTTTTTAGAGGTTCGTTAGATGGCTTCCAAAACTATGTACTCTCAGGAAGATTTTATTTGGATGTGAACAATAAATAATCCTGCTATACAGGATTTCTACAAACTATAAGTGATCGGATGAGATTTTATGATAAAATTATTATATCCTGAAAACACTTATATCCTGTTCACTACAACATCAGGTCATTAAGCTAACATTCCAAGGGCTATTAGGCTCAGAAATCCACGTATTTATCAAATATCATCCATTAAGTTCTACTCATTTATCGTTGAAGAATTTTCTCAGGAACTCGATGTGAACTACTGAATGTCTCTTAGACATTTCATAAACAAGTTTGTACTTTATTAATTAGTCCCATCAATAATAAAAGTTGGACATCTGCTTTATGGATCCAACGTACTTTAGATTGAGCGTAATAACTCTTAAGTTCGAGGAAATAATTTGGACTCTTTATCTAAGACTTAGTTGCTATTAATAGTAAGACTTCCAGTCAAAACACTAAGAATTATATTTCTTGTTACAGAAAATACCTGTGAATCATCCATCTATATACCAGTTAAACGAGTTCAGATAATTGTCTTATTTCTTCATTATCCAGTCATCAGGCAAAATGTTATGAACTTAGGTTTTATGGTTTAAGACACATACGGGAAGAGTCTGTGTTCAACTTTAAGTAGAAAAATTCTCTAAGCCAATCAACGAGAAGAACAAAACTAAAATGATAAAAAAGCAACTGATTGAAGTTCTTAAGATGATGAAAAAGGATCTGTCAATCAACGAACAGGTCTTTGAGCGCATAAAACCAACAGGACCAATAATAGCACAACTATATGGTTTACCTAAAATACACAAACCTGACCTACCCCTCCAACCAATTCTTGATATTTCCAGATCCCCTTACCACTCTATAGAAAAGTAGCTGGCAGATCTCCTAGAACCCGCATTTGTATACACTCCATACATGACAAGAAAACGCGATGGAATTCTAAAAAGATCTATCTACAAAAAGTCTTTGTAGAATAGACAACTATCAAGCTTCCACAGCTGAGTCCCCAGTAGTCGAAAGCGAAACCTAATAATATCACTCGCTACGCGAATACGAATTTGTAGTCCCGAGGTCATAGATGACGAGTTGAGCCTCTTGGACGAAATATGATATGACCGGAAGAAAAGTCGAAATTCGATTGATTTACTCATTATGAGTTCTGTTCAACATTACTTCCATTTTGATTTGATGTGATGATTATTAAATGTAGTATTTGTTTTCTTTTCTCGTATGATATTTTATTCTGTATAATATACGATATTCTTGTATTAGAAATTGACATGAACTATGCTTAGTATGACATGTAGAATGAGAAGTGTTTTTCATACACGTGATTTCATCCTAATTATTAATCAAAGTGTGTGTACAATCAATATATAAATGAGTGTATTATCGACTAGAGTTGTTGTCGTCGTGTTTTGGGGTTAATAAATCATCACTTGTATCAGTCTTTGTGTTCTTACTTTCACGTCGTGGGAATTGCAGTGGTTCCTCGCTTCACAAGAATAAGTGATAAGCGATTCTGACATAATAATCAGATATAAAAAATAGCGTTCAATCGAGAAGTCATATCAATTTCCTTCATCACTGTGTTCATATGGGATACGTAAACTTGAACTGATACACTTTTCGCATCAGGTCGTACACTAACTAAAACCAACTGGCTGATAAGGCTTTGTTATTTAGCAGTCTGACAACTAGTGTAATCAACCTATTATACGGATATTATCAGTAAAAAGTGACAATTTAAATGAATAAGTAACTAAAAAGGCTTCTACTGTCTCACTTTCTGCTTACATTACATGTGTCTGCAGGCAGTATAAAAGGACACAGTAAACAGTTCATAGCTTAGTTGATTAAATAAATGGTTGTTTAATATTTATTGTAGATTAAAAATATGATAATTATAGGAAGGGATAAAACTATCGGTAAACACATTGATGACATGTATCGAGATTGTCTTATCGACTTCGCTTTATGGAATTGTCTACATAGGATGATATTTGGGAGAACTACAATATCATCTGATGGCTAATGTAAGTGTGGATGCCTGGAATGTTTTTTTTGGTCTGCATACGATGGAACTAGGTAAGTCTGTTCGCTAATATATGAAATAATTTCCAAATGGTTTCAGAATCCCAGCTATAAGAGTGACATATGTTTTTCACAGGCTAAAACTATTCATTTTCCAACTTTGAATGAATTCGACGGAGAGCTCTTGAAGTGGAGTTAACCTATACTATTTTACAAAATGTGATGGGTTAACAAGGAAACAATAACAATAGACTACAAGTAAAACCACATACTGAAAGAATACTTCCTCCATTGTTGTGACAGATACACCAAAACTTGAAATGCCCAAACTGATTTTATTTGACTCCAGATCCTCAAACAAATTTCCAAATTTATCTATTGATTTTAATGGTAGCAGTATGCGGATCTCTTCACCATAATCACTGCGTGTATAAATGCATTAGGGATGTGTTCTTACTTTCACGTCGTGAGAATTGCAGTGGTTCCTCGCTTTACAAGAATACGTGATAAGCTTTTCCGACACAACAATTAGTGACGATCAAATATAAGAAGTAGCATTCAGACAACAAGATATATCAAAATACTTTTCAAAAACTGGTATCCTTCGATATTTATTGACAAGAACTTAAAACCTAGACCGCCTAAAATACAAATAACGTCGGTCGAAAAGAAAACACTTTACGTGAACATCGATTTTAAGGGTGATAGAACTACAAACATCCTAAAGAAGAGAATTTATGATTCTTTATAAAATGTCGTTCCTCGCGGCAACGTTGCAAATAGTGTTCCCCAGCCTATCATTGTTCTTCAGTTATCTTAAGGGTAAATAGTCTCGTCTGACGAACTCTATATGCATCTAGCTACTTACTTGCTCATGAGGAGCCAGGTATATTAGTCGTTCCGTGATAAACGAACACTCAGACGGGGATAATCCAACGAGTTTCAATATGAAATTACGGAATGTTTTGGTAAAATATGAGAACCATACATTAATTATTTTATTTGCGAATTTCCCTCACTTGTCTTCCATATCTTGTAAGATTCTTCCGATTCACAATTCCTTTCTAATTCCGTTTCTGTTTTCTTCAAGTCGACCTTCATTGCTTCCTGCTGCCAGGTTTTCCACCTTTGTTTCGTGTTACATACTACTTATGTCTGCCGATATAAGTAGCATACACCACAGTTCGACGATATTTTATTCAAAAGAATACAAGAACATTATCCTGAGTGGATAAAAAGAGGCAGAAACGGCTCAACAAAAAGCTCATTAATTGAACATCTTGTGAACACAGGCCACGCAACCAAAGCAGACTCTGCATTCAACGTCATATACAGGGCGAGTAGAAGTCTTCCAAAGACAATTAGATTACATCCTCTTAACAGTGTCGAAGCAATAGCTATACATCTGGGAAAACCAGAATTGTATGTGCAAAAGAGACTGGTACAACCTCTTCTTTTGCCATCGTTTTAATGTTTCATAATTCTCTTCCTTCTTCATACTTTTCTTCCTCTACAAACATCTGCTTCCCCTTCCATCTTCTCTATAGACCTTCTACTCCCAACTGGTTTATTTCTGTTTCTATAATCCTCCTAATTACATTTCATTTCAATTTCAATATTTTATCTTATCATGCTAAACCATCCGTCTTAATTATAACTTCCCTATTTATCTTCATGATGAATGTTTAAGCCCTTAACAATAAAACTATTATTAGTTTCCTTGACTAAAAAAATAATTTTTTTTATTGCCTTTGTTTATTCTAACTCACTGTTATCATGTTTGACAAAATCTTATTAACACTATTATTGTAGTTATTATCATCCTGAACAATAAGTATATATATATCCACGTTTGTGATTGTACAACTTTGAAAATGAATTCACCAAAAAGAGAACTCTTCGCTGAACCAATCTTCCTTATTTTAATAGAATTTTCCTCTACGATCCGAAACCTCATCTTTCAGCTTAGCAGTTAACATCTATTTGGATTCAACTTCGCCTAAACCGCTGCAGAACTAAATATATATCAAAATCAATCACAAAACATCAGATATTTTATGCTCTAGCTATCATCGATTTCTACATCTGTTGGTTAAATGGTAGTCTAATTCTAATAATAACACAACTAGATAACGACTCTCTACACATACTATGTATATATAGAGTTCCTTGACCGGACGACCTAGGTAACTAATGAGATTTATATTATGACCCAATTTAACTAGTGACTGATTTCTGTATATGTAGTCTTCAGATTATTCTCTTATAGTGGCTCTGAAAGATTCTATTGAAAATTTAGTCGTGTTGTTCACTGCACAAACAAATGTAAAACTAATTTATTACTAAAATAATTATTATATTTCAAAACAACTCACCTCACTAAATATGAAAATACGTTTGTTTATTCCACATAAAAATAATAACAATTGGATTTTACAAGAATAAATCCATTCTAAAACTATATATATTAAACGGAAAATAGAAAGATATCAGACGATATTTCTAATGAAATTATTTTCATGTTTTACAATATTGTATTTTTAATGCATCAGGTATTATTCATTTATCCCTAAGACTCACGAATTTAATTTACGCTGTTCATTTAGTTTCCAATACGCATCCATAAATTTCGTCATTTCACAAGCAACTTTAGGATGATAAAACCTTGGATCACTCCTGTCTATTTCCATCTAAAACAACAACAACATAAATAAATAAATAAAAACCTCATGTGGAAAATAAGCACCTTGACTAAAAACATTAGAGAAAGAAATACAGAACGTTAGAAAGTGAACAACACGTTCTGAGCCCCTCTATTACTGATTTTCGAAGGTGAAATTTCTCTAACTCCATCAAATAATCAATAAAGTAAATTAAGGTAACAGTTCAAGTTGCCGTCCAATGACACTGAAGGTAGATCATTGAATTGTTTAAATATCATGACATTTCGAAAATGCAATTAGAAGACGAAGGTTATCAGTTTTATGTGATTTGTTTGCTCAATACATTTTGGACAACTTGATCACGCATATATTTGTTAAGACCTTTTATATGAAAATTAAAGATCAACTAGACAAATTAAAAGGTAAGTGGCAACAAAGATAATAATAAAGTACACATAAGTAATGTGAAAACCACGCTGGATAATAAATCAGTATTTATCAGGGTAGGTTAAATGTAAGATCGAATTGTTTTTGAACACATAAAAGGAGTTTCAGTTTCTGTATAGCCGAGGCTTCAATTTACTGCAAACGTGGATTAATAAAGGCCTTGTTCCATAGGATCAATGATATTTTTGCTGGTAATGCTATTGAAGTAGACATAGCTCTTAACTGAAACATTAATGAATAACAGTTATTCATTAAAGTTTATAAACTGTTATAAAGGTTTCAAGACTATGTGATCTATGACGCTTCTGGAACCCAGAAAGCGATTCTAAATCATGTTACCATTTAGAGGTTACTCAAATTGTCTCATGGTGGAACGGAAACTTAAATTAGCCATCAATAGGACATTTTATGCAACCCAAACTCGTCATTTTTGAAAAGACAAGGTCTATTTCTCACCAAAAACCCAAACGGCACGTAAGTGATTGTGTCAGATCCCCTTGCGCCTATAAATTTAAATGTATGTACCGAAACACGTACATAGGGAGGAGCAATCATGATTTGCAAGTAAGGGTAGCTGAACACATACCTAAATGACTGCAAAAACAAATGAATTCCAATGGTCAAATGAGATCGCAGGATTGACAAACATCTCCCTCCATCGCGAAACATTTGGTTGAGACCGATTATAAGGTTTATATGAAGTCAGCCTTTGTAGTCATATACAAAAGCCTTCAAGGGCATATACTAAGGTTTATTGAAGCCTCGGCTATACAGAAACTGAAACTCCTTTTGTGTTCAAAAACAATTCGATCTTACATTTAACCTACCCTGATAAATACTGATTTATTATCCAGCGTGGTTTTCACATTACTTATGTGTACTTTATTATTATCTTTGTTGCCACTTACCTTTTAATTTGTCTAGTTGATCTTTAATTTTCATATAAAAGGTCTTAACAAATATATGCGTGATCAAGTTGTCTAAAATGTATTGAGCAAACAAATCACATAAAACTGATAACCTTCGTCTTCTCATTACATTATCGGAATTTATCAAAGAGACTAACTGTTTTAAATTTTGTAACATTATAAAACGTTGATGACTAGATCACCAATTGATTACTTAATAGTAGGGATTGTCTCGGGTGACCTCAATGCTTCAATAATGTAGGCGAACAAGAATCTGGAGACAGAAGCTCATGATTAAAATAAAAACTGCACAATGTGCTCTGTGAATTCAAGTAATTCGCAAAGTTATTTAAATCCGAAAGAAAACTTTTCACACGTTCATATAACCGTAAATACAGGAATGATGACTTACTAATGGTTGACTTATCCAGCCATATTCCTGATTTTCTGTTTGAGGTTCGATATATTTTTTTGGTGGTTCCAAAGAAGCGCGTTGTATAACGTTCGCAAAGTGTTCTGGAAATATGTTTGGCAAATAAATAGAATATCCATCAATGAGTATTTAGCCGCAATTTCTCACTAAAAAGTGGTTTATGTTGGTTTCTGAGTTACGGTTTGCTCGTTTACCAAGAGTATGAAACACCAGAAGGTATCATCAGTTTCAGTTTAACAAACAGTTAATCATGAAAAAAATAGATCGTAAAATGGGTCATGTAAACAATTTCATCTTTAAATGGAAACATCGATAGAGGGGTTTTATAATTTAGGTTTTGCCACATCCATAACTACCTTTACAAACTCCTACATTTTTAAGTGTAATTAGTTTAACACCAAGTGTACACTTGATCAAGTTGTATAAAAGTTTTAGTGAACAGCACATACTTACATACCTACTGTAAAACTACCTTAAGTATAACCCAACACAGTTATCGCGATAACTCTGATTAGGATCTCTTTTTTTAATCAATGCCTTTACATTAGTTTCTTCAGGAGAAGAGCATCGACCGAACACGTAAGCGAACCGCCAACCAATCATTTACATCACTTATAGATGAACCACATTTTTCATTCATCATGTGGGTATTTATAACAAGTTTTATTATATGATTTTAAAATATCAATCCTACATTACAACAAATAATTAGATAGGAGAGCATACATGGGGGATATATGTTTTTATATTAACTAAAAAATAAATTTGCACTTTACAAGACTGAAAGTCAAGCGATAGCACTAAACCTGTGTCTTATCAAAATTCGATTGGGATTTATCACATCGATCATAAATATCAAAGTAAATCATTAATTAATAATTTTGAAAAAGTAGTATATTGACTTTTTTGGAAGACTAGGGCATAACTAATTAAAATAATACAGTATCTGAAGTGATACAAGTCACAAAAAAAACATAAAGACTGTTAAAAACCACCAAAGGATGACAGCTATTACGATATATAATAAATTAAGGTCTGTTATCCTTTCTGACGAGTTGTTATTCAACCTGAAATAAATCTGGAATCGGTTTTAAAGTTGAGCTTTACAAAGATTTTTCGAGAGTAAAATTAGGAACTAACCACGAATAAACTTTTCTAAGTATTTTAGAAGATACAATATAAGTAAACAAAGTCTACGTTCTTTAGTACAGATATATAACGTTTTAAGGGTTACAGAACATCAGTTATGCTTCAAGGTGAGACTGTCCGTCATTCTTAATTTTAAAAAATCACTGATCTATAAGTCTATATAGCTAAAGTGTGACTTTCAACATTAAAACACTTGTTTTGTCCAGAAGTTACTTAAATACAAACAGGACCCAATTTCTGTTTCCCAAGGGGGACAATGGATTTAAACCACGTTTCATCCAAAACGCTGACTCCTTTTCTTCCTAAAACTTGACGTTATGTCTGAAAAAAGCTCTTAAGTGACATCATATAGGGTGGAAGCTGTAATAATTTTCTCCAGTGTTAGTTTTCCAGATGTTTGGCTTTAAAAGGTGATTGAGTATACTACCGGTGTCAGGATCATAAATATCTAATACTAGTCCTGAGCTAATATATATTTGCAGCAATAGATACTTCCCTAAAGTAAACAGTTCAGCATGTATTTAACACCTGACACCGATTTGGTGTGATTTCAATAGGCCAAAGTAACTGAAGATGCGGTCAAGCACTTACATTGTTCATTACCCAGAGGTAAACGCTATGTTTCTCGTTTACCACCCTTTTCTTGTCACCTAAACCATTCTACCATCACTAACATCAATCATGACACAAATGTATCCTTCCACCTACATGTTTATTGTTTTTCCTTGGTGTTTATGAAGTATCGGGATTCGATATCCTATGAGTTCTGTACTAGAATCGCTGGAATCCACTTAACTAAACCTACTAAGTATACTAACCGAAAGAAACATTAGAATACGAATAGAACAGCATGACCATGAACACAAGGCACTCTCTATTAACTGAATATACCGGTATCTTATGGTTACATATTTAGTTTTTATGAATCATTTGAACCATTTAAAGTTATTCAAAAACTTACTGTCTTCAGCATCAGCTTCTTGTATTCTATTTGGTTTATCAGCTAAGGGATACACTAGCAAATTATAAAATATGTGAAATCTTACTTTTCTTAAAAGGATTGATACTGTATTCTGTGAATATTTTTTGATGTCTCAACTCTTTTTTAATAGTTTCGCTCATAATAACAGCCTGATGTACATAGTTAGGAATCTTATTATTGCTACTGTCAGACATGTTGAATTCTGTGGAGAATAAAAACCGTAAAAACCGTGAATTTATTTACGGTATCTCTTTTTGTATACGGTGCATTTCATAATATGACTGAGTGATCCCTGACATTTTAGAAATTAATAGTAAGTTTCGTCATTTTCCAGTGCTACCAACCAACTAAAGTTTCTAGATCTTAAAATGTCGTAAACTAACTTTAGCCCCAATTAAAAAGCCCAGGTAGTCCCACTAAATAAAACACTCCCTAAAACCAGACATAAACTTACATGATTTATCCAGAGTTCTCTATGAAGGCTTTGTAGCTGTTTCTATCAAAGTCTGGTTTAAAAAGGATCATCTGAAAAGTTTCTGGATGTTGTTGTGATATAAAATGGTGGTTGAAACTTAAATTCCAGTAATCAGATTTATGCTATTTGCCAGAGATCACTAATAAATTCCGAGTAAAAGCTAACAGCCTTTTCATTAACATAATCTAGAGAAGAAAGGCAGGATATGAACTCACTGTTCCGTTTCATAAGCCCTATTAATTATACTGCGCATTCAAAATATAAGGTGACTTGAAACTGTTTGAGAATCTGACTTTATACCCTTGTTATCTCAAAATTCGCGTAAAGGTTTACAAGAGGATGGTAAATCATTAACACAAATTTTGTAACAAAGCTTTTTTGCGTATTCTGATAAATATTGTCAAAGCCAAACAATCCTTAAGCTCTTGATTTTTCGTACAACCTCTAAAGCTAATCAGTAACGTTCAAACCATTCTAAGTGATCTGCGAAAATGTATGAATGATTTGAAGGAATTTGTGCGAGTTTCGAAACAATACTGAACTATAGTAAATTTGTTGATTAGCTTCAAGAAAAATAGGATGGGACTTAATAAAAAGGTCCAATAAATACTTCGAAACCTCACCATAAGTATACAGTGGATTGCTGCCTTTTCACAAAACAAGTTTGAGCCACAACTTATATTGTCAATCAGCCAAGTACACTAACACTACTCTCACTCAATACATGACACAATATCCTAAAATCATACCTTAATAATCTCTGTCTGATGCATTCAGGGTATTATCACCATCAAATAGTGAGAGGCCGTTAATTTTCAGTTTTATTGTAACTCTCGTAAACTGAAAAAGTTCTTTATCTGTTTAAACTCCGTATAAAGTTATAAATGATGTATGAAGTAGTTTCACGGCAATTAGAAATTGAAAAAGCTTCAGTCTACATGTATTCTTGTACCACACTCACACATAATGACATCTAAGTTCAACAGTGATTCGGGACAGCACATTTCTGTTTTAAAATATTTTTTTTTCATTTTCTTAGCAATGATAGTAAACGACAAATAATTCTTCCTCTAAAACATTATTAGAAGTATGACAAATCTTAATTAGTAAGCTTAAACAAGCATAGTAAACAAGAGGTCTTTGAGCCATTAAATCTCTGGGACATTACATGCATTTATAGTGCCGTTATTCAGGGATTTATGTTTGCAAAGTGACGACAGCAAGTGCTCGTAATAAATGTGTTGGAGTGCAACTCATTTATGAAAAAACTGCAACACCTTATAAATAAACCATAGTACTAGTAGCCTGTCGGTGTCATCAATGATTTATTTGCTGTTCAGCCCCAATTATTGTTCATTGAGTTCACAAAGCCCTGAAATAGGTAGCAGCCTATATTTTGGTAAAAACGTAGTGGGTATATATTGTTTTATGTAGTATGCTGTTTATCTGAAACACCAGTAACAATAGAGATTTTAAGAATAATAAAACATGAATATAGGTGTATTCGGCTTTTGCTGTGCAAAATGAACCAAAATGTGATAGTTGATGAATGCGTGGTAATTAGCTTGTAAACAGCTGCCTACTTTATCTCAACACCAATACATTGCCTTCACATGTGTTCATGGTGTGTTGGTTTTTTTATAGCTACTGGAGTAAGTTTTGGACAGACTCATAGTTTCTCATAACATATATAACAGTTAATAACACCATTTATTCTAATTAGCGTAGTAAGCATGAGTATTCAAACACGAAAATTATCGAGGTAAAAGATACTCACAGATCAAACCCCGATTATGTTAAATGTAAAGAAGCTAATACAGAGATTATGATCCCAGAATGGCATGTCTATCTTAACTACCAATACGCCATGCTCTGGATAATATTTGATAATCTTAATGATGGTTTGTTTAGAACAGAGTAACCTATGGTAAAGAAGATCTGGTATGTATCAAAATGGCAATTAAAAATACGAAACCTTCCCTTCATGACGTACATAGGTTTAATCCATTTAATAAATGAGTGATATTTGGTGATTATGACGATGATGAATTTTTTACATCACCGTTATCAGATTCAAGTACCCATATATATCCATCTAATATGTTTTTATTTACAACTCAATCTGTCATATAACTAGTTTCATCAAATGAGATAGGACAGCGCCATTTCATATATATTATCGTATACATCTGGGAAAATAGAAATTACTAATGAGAAGATAGTTTAGCAAAGGGAAGATTTGGTTGTTGATCTTTACATGATAGGATCATACATTAATATACTATTTTAGGCTACATAAGTCCAGTCTATTCATGTGACTATCAAAAGTAAAAATTCAATTATAGTGATTTTCTCCGGTATGGTAAAATGATTGATCACGAATTCTAATCTATATACCTTCCTACTTATCACTTCCTGTCTAACTAACTGCATTACTTTCCCTGAACAATTATAATTGGTGGTACACAGGAACAACTTCAGTTCACTATACCTCAACACAGCCCAACTCAGATTAAACTAGTCCAATAAACTTTTACGTTATTTCATGGTATTACAACTCAGGTTAACTTCATTCTAGTACATTTATTGGTCGTCCTAATACAAGTTATAATAGGCCCAATATAATTGTTTATCCTTTAGGAGCTAGACGGTAATATAATCTATGGACCAACTCGATCTCCTTAGTTCTGGTAAAACTTTGTCCGGGTTGGGTGAATTTCGGGGAAACCGCCACAGAAAACTATGGGAAAATGCCACAAAAACCCCAAAATTTCCCCAGGTTAGGGGAAAATCTCTAAAGTGTCTAGGGAAATCTTTAGATTTCCACAGAATCTTATAACCTTTTGAGTTTTTCCCTAAAATTCCCTCAAACTTTCAGGAAAACTACCAAGCTTATTATGACTTTGGGGAGAACCCCGAAATTCCCTAAGGTTTCCCTAAAATAGGTAGATTGAGAGGGTCAACGAGATCGTACTATTCATACATGATTGTTGACAAATATGGTATGTGATTCGCCGCTATAAAATCATCTTAATTTTGATAAAATACCTCAGCTCAAAATTGTACCAAGCAATTTATAACCATAGTGAGTAATACCTAAGTAGCAAATCAATTGATGACATAGTGAAACTTCATCAGTTGAGATGGCTGGGACACGTGTTACGTATGCCCAACGACCGACTGCTTCGACGTGCAATGTTCAGTGGTATAGGAGTAGGTTGGAAGAAAGCTAGAGGCGGCCAAACCAAAACATGGCACAAGTCCATGAAGTCACTGACAAGTGGACTGAGTCATGTCGGTAGGTGTAGACTACCTGGTTGGGGACCGCGAGATGATAGCAACCGATGGTTAGAGACCCTGAATGACATGGCTCAAAATGGTTTGCAATGGCGCAGGTGCATACACTCTTTGTGTTTTCCCAAATTTTGATCTCCTTATTCCTCCTTGTCTCTTTTTTTTCTCTTCCCAAATTTATTTCACTGTATTATACTCTTTAAATAACATCTCCAAACACTAATTTTCCCGATTACTGCTTATACTCTTATTACCTCTACCACTACGGGATTTGAATCCACTACTACATCTGTGTGCTAATGTGGTGTGGCAACTCTAACTGATGTACGTACGTACGAAGTTCTACGTTGTTGCTGACTGACTGACTAACTGACTGACTGACTGACTGACTGACTGACTGACTGACTGACTGACTGACTGACTGACTGACTGACTGACTGACTGACTGACTGACTGACTGACTGACTGACTGACTGACTGACTGACTGACTGACTGACTGACTGACTGACTGACCTAAGTAGCAATTTCAAACTATAATTATCCCTAAAATCTAAAGACGATTCTGGACAGCGTAATCAAATATTTTGAATTTTTGCATCAAGCGGTAACTACGCCTCAGTTGTTCAAATAGATTTGGACGGAATAGAAGCTTTCGCTTATCTAGTAGTATCTAGTAGCAATAGATCACCAATGCCTCCAGTTAGAAGCCTAAGTATATTTAACGATAAGAGAAAAAATATTTGTACCTTCTCAATCTCACCATCTTAAGTAAATTTTTGGGAACCTCGGGAAAATTTTGGAATTTTCCACAAAGTCATAAGAAATATGGTAGTTTTCCCCAAGGTTTGTGGAAATATTAGGGAAAACTCAAGATTTCCTCAAGCATTTCGGAGATTTTCCCCAGACCTGGGGAAATTTTAAAGCTTTCGTGCGATTCTCCCAAAGTTTTCCGCGAAATTTACCCAAACCGGACAAAATTTTCCCCGAAATAGGTGGATTGGGTTATAGAAAGACATCTTTTTAATTCTGAGAAATATGTCAAGTTTCCTGTCAAAGGACTCCTGAGAAGTCGCCTAGACTAGCTCAGTCGGTAGCGAATTCTAAAGTTTGACTAGGCTTAAGGAGGACAAGGTGTATATACAGTTCGTTCTGCTATGTTGTGTCTCCAGTTTCTGGTTGTTATCTCGAAACCTTTGTGTTGAGACTGAGCTTAAGTAAGTTTGTAAGAGCATACCCGGAATTGTTTAGAAGTCTACAAGTCATTTGAAAGTCACCTTTGAGATTCCCATACTCTAATTAGTAAACTTTCAGTGATTCGAGGCGCTTTTCTTGAAGCCTAAATTCGATTTCATCGCTCGCCTTTCGACACGTTGCCATGTATTCTTATCCGTCCGATGTGAGAGAAAAAACGCTATATTTCCATACTGTAATTGGGGTCGAATAAAACTCTTGAAGATTAAATAAAAAGTTCTTCCATCGAACTGGCCAAAAGCGCACTTCATGGATACTAGTGCAAGATTTGCTCAAAAGGCATTTGTGTTGCATTCAGTGTAAGACTTCTGATAATAGGGTAACAACACCCTTAGATCTTTTTCAACTAGGGATACCTCTAGAGGGGAGTTACCTTGGTTGTACTCGTAGTCTGCAATATGTCTCAAATGGACTACTTTACACTTTGGAGTGTTAAAGGTCAGCCCGTTGTTGCCCTCCCAACTTTAAATTCAATTCATATACACCTGAAATACCAGCTTGACATCTTAGCTCCAAACTTATCTCCAATGTTTCACTTCATCAGTGAAAAGTAAGAAATCAGACGATACTTGCTGAGGAAGGTCGTTTACTTAAATTAGGAAATTAAGGCGTCCAAGCAGTAAGCCCCTGGCAACCCCACTATGACATTCTGCGGCCTAAGAAAAATTGAGGTTAACCGTGACTTTAGGGAGTAGATCATTTAGATATGAAGTAAGCCAACCAACTAACGATGACTTGATACCTAATCGTTTGGGCTTGTCGATAAGACATGCATGATGAACCCTATCGAAAGCTTTTGAGAATTCAAGGTTTGTGATGTCAACCTTCCACTTGAGATCAAGGATGGTTGTTCACCACGGTCAGCTGGTGGAGGGTAAAATGACCTTTCCAAATGGAGTATATACTTTAAGAACAGACGACACCTTCCGTCGTCAGACTCAATCAATTCACCATCAAGGACATTCTATAATGGAAACGCTTTCTATTAATATGATTATAACTTTTCCTCTAGATCCTATGCACATGATGTACCTTGGTGTTACCAAAAAAATAGCTAATTTATGGATAGATTTAGCACGCCGAAGACTGCGGAACTTTAACTCATGTGCAATTAGAGACATAAATAATTTAATATCCGGTTGTGTGGCAAGTACTCCTTCTGACTTTCCCCGTAAATGCCGTACACTAGACTTTGTATCGGCATGGAAAGCTTCTGAATGTAGGTTGTTCCTTCTGTATTTAGGCCCGGTGATTCTTTTCAGCCTTTCCATTCGAGTCTTACATGAGACAAATTAAGGATTCCGTACGTAGTGGGTTTGCAGTAGCTAAGCAAGCAGCACAGCGTTATGCTGAGAGAATGTCCTTCAACGATAGGCTTCAAATTAGTGGTTTAATAAATACTACCCAATAGGCGCTAATGATGTCTCCACTAAACAAGTAATTATGTTTAACAACAGTAAAATAACTTCATATAAGCCTGATAATGTTGTAGTAGTAAACGGCCAGCCAGGTTTAGTCACTGATACAAAGGAGGATGGACTACTAAAATTTAGGACTTTCACTGACCCACGCAATTACTTTGAAGATCCTTTCCCATCTAGTGATATTGGAATCTTTATGTGCTCCGTAGTTAGCCACGAATATACCTGGGTATCGGTTCAGGACATTGATTGTAAATGTATAGCCATCAATTGTATCAATTATATAGTTGTAATCCCATTGTTGCATACTCTATTGTAAATGCATTTTGTTTCATTAGTGTTTAAGTAATGATGATAAATCATTTACTTACGTCTTATGTTCTTTTCAGCCCACTAACAAGAAATACGTTATTGTTGACGTCCTAAAAAAAACAACTTATGCTAGCATCAAAGGACTGGATAGTTGGCAATGACCTTTGCCTTCTTCCGAACGAGCTGGTCGATATACACCTGCAGAAGTGCGACCAACCGAATGAAAATTGGTCACTTATGAAATGTAAAGTGATTCACGAATAAGGTAGGTTACATACACAGAAAGTATAATTCACTATAGATTCTCTGCAGTCGGCAAAAGATCTGTTAGTTGCCCTACAGATACTGGAATCTCAACGGAAAACACCTCAACGGATGAAAACACTTTGCCACTTAACACTGAGAAGCCAAAGAGGTCTGTACAATAATCCTACTTACATTTCCTAGAGGTGTAATGAAGCGTAAAGAAGATTTTCTTTACAATTCAGTCGACATGGATGTGGCTGAGATGCAGGCTGGGAATAGCCGCGTACAATATCCAAATTCCGTGTTTTCGACAAATCCATATCGCCAATCGCCAAGTACGTTTAATTACTATTTAGATATTCACGATTTAGTTCGATACAATTAGAGACATCACCATCCACATCGGAATGTAAGCATGTTGGTGGCGCTATAGTGGACCAGTAAGTAACCTGCATCATCTAGTGACCTTTTTCAGCTGTGATAGGTTGTATACTGTGGTGCTGAACATGTCGTCAGCTATCAATGACTTTGACTAAAACGATTAACAACATATCGTCCGCCATTACTGACTTGAATGTTAATGTAAACCAATTGCTATTTAAGTGTAATGAACGCGAAAAACCGCATCAATTCGATTGCGGACTGTCGAGCCAGCAGTTCCCTTTGTCATCTGAAGAGGAACTACAGATGCTGGATACTGGTTTGTCGCAGAAAGAAACCAGGGACAGATTTGTAAGTCATTAACATGAATTCAATAATTTGTTACGATTACAGATGGCAATGGTCACTAGGTTATCAAGTGACGATCCAAAAACGTCCATGCGGTTTGTTCTGTCGCATCTGTTGACACCTGAGGTTGCCAGTAAATTCACGTTGCTTGGCACCTCTTCAAAACGAGCACTTCAGAAATGCACGTTTTACGGCTTCATACGAAGTAACCTATATCCATTACTTTAACTTCAGGTGCCTTAACTCATCGCTTTTTGTCATCCTCTGTCAACGAAAAAGACCTTGGTAAGCTCTATGACATCGCGACACAAGGTTACTTTCACGATATCCGAGACAAGATGATAAAGCGTAATAGAAGAAAAGAAAACCAGGCATGTACTAATTTAAAGTGATAACCTCCCTACAGCTCTATAGTTACAGTCAACAATATTAACGAACATAACCGTAAGTTCAGCTTCAAGTATTTGGCTGTGCCAAAGCATACCATTGAGAAATGGTTGTGACTTTATTTTTTTTATTCAGAATTCACAGGACGACTACCTCAATTCTCAATAGCAGAACGAACGTGGCTTAAGGGAATAGTCCGTGCAATTGTTTTGATGTTCTATCTACATTTCAATAAACATTATTTTTTCAAACAGCTTACTCTTTTACTTACATGGGAAACTGTTGGAGTGTTGAGAATGTGTGTTTGAGTGTCAGTTAACTTTTGCTTAAATGCACATTCCTTATAAATAAAACATAACCTGTTCCTTCTTTTTCAGGTAATTTCAAATAACAATGAATTAGCAATTGCATTGGATATGCAAAACAATCGGTGCTTAAGCTTCTGTTCTAGTGTTGTACAATAATACGCTTTTCCTCTTAAATAAAATTTTGAAAAAATGTAC